GTGGGTGTGACTAATCTGCAGTAGCACCATTTTTAGAAGACAAAGAAAATGAAGATCATGATTTTATTAATTCTTCAGTTGATATGTTGATTAGGGGTGAGTTGAATTGTTTCCAAAAAATTTACTCTTTTCTTTACTCATTTTAATCTATAGATAATATTGCACCAGATGATGATGAAACTGATGATAATAATCTTGATTATGGTAAGTTATTTTTTGAAAAAAAGTATTAACATGATTAGAATGTTAAGAAAATAACTCATGACATGAGCAAAGTTTATTATTTCTTCTAAAAGCTCTTTTCTAAAATAGATATGAATAATGCCGCTGTCCATTATGAAACTGAAGATTTTCCTCTTGATATTCATTTAAAAAACTATCAAACTGGTTATATAACTGATCTGCTATTTGAATCAATCGATCGTCAAGAAGATCTAGACTTGGAAATCACATCATTTATATGCAACTCCAATCTGGATAAATTAAAGAGTAAACACACTAGTCGACGATCTTGCCTCACTTCTTGCCGGATTCTTGTTTTTCTTGATTATCAGACAAGATTCTTTTCAATCATAATGTTCAGGCAAGATTCCTTTCGGGAGGAAAGAAAAAAGATTCTTACAAGAATTTCAAGATGAAGAGAATCTTGCCTGATTATTCAGAAGTAAAAGAATCAGACAAGAATGGCTAGATATTCAAGAGATTTTAAAAATTTAGACAAGAATCTTTTTCCTTTCCTCTGAAAAAGAATCTTGACTGGAGTTCAAGATGAAAAGAATCTTGTCTGATTAGTCAGAAAAATCAAGAATCTGAAAAGAATCACAAAATATTTATAATTTCTTGAAGTTCAGACAAGTTTCTTTTTTTCCTTTTACAAGATTTGTATCTAATCTTTTAATAACAATAACGCGTGATCTCTTTGTTTAAATACTTATATATATTTAGACGTGCAATCGCTATTTTCATTCATTTATAACTATGTAAGGGTGAGGTAAGAAACTCTTCAAGATAATCGATCGTATTGAAAAGATATCTGTCAATTATCTTTTTTCTGTTAGATATATACAGACAGGGCTGTAACATATACTGCAAATAACAATGAATTTTTTCAGAGAATTATATCTAGCATTAATATCTATTTTTTCTTTTGTAGAACTTTTTTTCTAATGGATATCGATCAAGAAGATTCAAGTAATAGTTTTTTTCTGTAATATTATTCGTGATTTAGGTAATATGATTGTGTATCTATAATATTCTTTTTTTAGGAATTAAATGGAATCAGTTTAGGTCAAATCTCACGTGGTCCTCTATGAATGCAACAGTTAAATCTTTAGCTCATCCCGCATATGGTGAAAAAGTATCATTCAGCGATTCGGCTCCAGGAGAATTTGATCTTCTTTTGGGTAAGATGAATGAAAAAATTCAATGATCACTTTAGTATTTCAAATCTATATTTTCAGGTTTTTTTTGCATGAATTCATCAATTAACTGTTGTATCTGTTCTTGTTGACAGTCAATCAATCAAGAACTCTTTACAACAAATGAAGCATGGCATCAAGAAAAGAAAACCCTCGATTAGATCATCCATTACTATATCAAAACAAGAACTTTGACGACAGTTCAACGATTATCATCATTGAATAACGAGGAAGATTATGAAAACGATAATGAAATTTGAAATATAGCTTTTTGGTGCTTGTTTTTCTTTCTATTTTTTCTAACTTTTTGCTCCTTATTTGAAATTGATGCATATTCTTATTGCTTTTTGTTTACATTTTTGTATATTCATTTGAACTTGAGAATAAAAATATGATAGTAACGAAGGAAAAGANTTGGATCAGCTGGTTCAGATGATAAAGTAAAATGGCTTCAAACTGAACTTAATTTTGATCATGCATTTAATTATAAAACCTCAGATGTAAAAGCTGAACTTGCTAAATTTGATCCATTGAATATTTATTTTGATAATGTTGGTGGTGATCAACTTGAAGCGGCGATAGCTGCTGCTGCTGATCATGCTCGTTTTGTTGAATGTGGTATGATTTCACAATTTCATAAATCAAATGATGTTGGCATTCGTAATCTTATTTTGGTTGTGCGTAAACGACTTAAACTTCAAGGTTTTATCATTTTTGATCAAACAAAAGATGAAAATTTTAATCGAGAATTTTACTCGAAAGTACCAAAATGGATTGCTAATGGTGAATTGAAAGTCAAAGAAGACGTAACGAAAGGTTTAGAACAAGCTCCTGAAGCTATTGTCGGAATTTTTAAAGGAAAGAATTTTGGCAAAGCCGTTGTTCGAATAGCCGATGATTAAATAATTTTCTAAACATTTTTTTTTCCTTGTAAATTTGTATTACACTTGTTATAGATTATGTTTAATAAAATATCTTCATAGAGAAAATATGTATGATTTAAATGTATACAATGTCTAGTAATAACGTTGATTGAGACAAGATCAACGAGTATCTTCGAGTACAATTATTTTAATATCTTTTGTATCGTATTTTGTAATGATTTTATTCATGTGAAGAAAAACAACAATAAAATAAAAGATGTATTTAATAAATAAGAAAGAAATAGAAAAACTCTACGAACAACTGATAATAATCTTATGTTATGTATTAGTATATGGTATTCGAGTAATTTGCTCTTGAAGAGTATTCATAAAGGGCAATTATCTGTTACTATTATCGATGTGTCATTTTTTATCCCTGGATTACAATACGAAATGTTTTCTTGTTTTGTAATGCTTTCTGACAGACGCATAATTGGCATTTTTTCGTTTATACCTCGTTATTGTCAAGGCATCTGTATTTCTGATGGTAATTTGTAGTGTGTCATTAGTTCGAATCGCATGTCAACTAAGGCATTTTGGTCTCGACCTTCCGATTGAAGCGCGCGTGGACGTATACATCGCAAATCAACAGCTTTTTTATGTATTATCTTTTCTTTTACAACTATTTCTTTTTCTGTTTAACAGAGCGTCCTTCAGATCTAGTATATCATTCATCTCCTAGTACAGACACAAGTTACATTTGTTCTTCTTCATCTTCTTGTACTCTGTATTGCATTCTCAATAAATATGAATATGTTTTCAATCTTGTTTTGTCTTTACCTAATTATTTATTGTGCGAATACAGCACCTACAGTAAATACAAATGGAGCGAGTATGTTTAGAACAATGAGAAGTTAATTTTATAAATGATTGATTTAGACCTTGGCTTAATTGCGAATGGAAAACTAATTGATGAGCTGACATGTAAGACTGATGACGGACGAAGTAAGTTGTTGTTGTTGTTGTTTTTTTATTTATTTCTTAACATATTTATTATTTAATGTAACAGTTGAAATTCCAATCAATGGTAAAATGCGTGTGGGTACAAATCCTTGCAAAGGTAAAATATAAACAAATCATGATGAATATAATACTATATATTATTATCTCTTTAGTATGCACATGCACTGCTACGGGATTTTTATGCGAAGATCAATGTGAAACAATCCCAGCATCGACTTCAATAGGTTCTCCGGGAGGTATATATATATATATCACATGAAAAATTTCTTTATTTTATTGATCATATTATTTCTTTTTGTTTTTAGAAGGTAGTACTACAACTGTTTCAAGTTCTACTTTACCTTCACCTGATCAAATAATACTTTCAGCTCCTTTTGCACCACAATCAGTATCAAATACAAATGGTGCTCTTGTAACAAGTTCAACAACATCATCATCTAGAATTGAAAATTCTGATGATGATGGAACAACAATTATTGGTGGTGGACCATGCGCACGTATAGCAGTTAATGGATTAGTGCCTTCACGTGAATATGCATTTATTGATTGTAGTGAAGTTTATTTAGCTGGAAAACGAGCAAGTGGAATTTATGAAATATGGTAAGACGATAACTAAACAAATATAATTAACTTTTGTATGTTAAAAGGCCTCGAACAAGTCCAAAACCTTTTCGAGTTTTATGCGATATGGACGCAGATGGTGGTGGATGGACAGTTATTCAACGTCGTGGTGATTATATTCAACAATCAAATTTTTTTGTAACATGGTCATCGTACAAACGTGGTTTTGGTGATCTTACACGTGATTTTTGGCTTGGAAATGAAAAGATTCATGCATTAACAACTCAAGATGAATATCGGCTTCATATTGATATGGAAGATTTTAATGATCAATCACGTTTTGTTGATTATGAATGGTTTTTTATTACTGATGAACAAACAAAATATACGCTAAATTTAGGACGCTATATGACAACATCAACTGGTGGTGATTCGTTGTCATATAATCGTGGTATGCGTTTTACAACGCGTGATCAAGATAATGATCAAAATTTGTCAAGTCAATGTGCAGAAAATTATAAGAGTGGTTGGTGGCATGCCGGATGTACATTGGCAAATTTAAATGGACTTTATTTACGTGGCAATGATTCAACTGCTACAGGAGTTTTTTGGAATAATTGGTTAGGTGCAAAATATTCATTAAAATCATGCGAAATAAAAGTTAGACCAGCTGGTTTTAATACAGAAATGCTTACGTGAATAAGACACGAGTCCTTTTTTTTTTGCTTTTGTATATTATTTCATTTTATTATTGAATGACAAACAGAAAAAAAAAGAACTAATTGCAAACGAATAAGTTTTGATACCTTACACAACAAAGTTTTATGATTAATTTCAATAATAAGAGAGCTTAATGGATCAAATAGATTGTTTTATTTCGTAAAAAAAAGGATTTCAGATAAATGAAGATGAGCTTTAACTGATGGATGCTGTATACTTTTGTACATAGTTTTTTAACGAGAAAATTAATTTAGTGAATTCTTGGATTTGTTTTAAACGAAAATTTTTCTTAAACTAAATTAATACATATAGTACGATGTTTTATCGAATGAGAAATGTTCTAATTATTGTCTATATTTCCTAAATTAAAAAAGTTAAAGTTGATTTTTTGAGCACAAATAAATATTTGAAATTGAATAAAATATTATTTGACAGTTAATTGTAAACGAAATTTGTCATATGTATTATTCTTTCTCTTTTATATTAAGTTCTCATTTGATTTTGAGATCATCTATTAAGAACATCCAGAGAAAATGGTACAGACTAAGAGTCAAATGTGACTGAATTAGTGACGGACGTGACCAATTTGTTTTGGTTACAGTTGTTCTTTCTAGGTTATCGAGAGCCGTGATCTTTATTCGTGAACGATGTTTATCATGACGAAAGTTCGATGAAGATAAAAAAGAAATAAAATTGATAAAATTATTAGCCAAGAAGAAAACTATGTTCTTAACTAATTCGGTTCTACTTGATAAAATAAAAGTATATATGTGTGTTTTCGTTTAAGTGTATGTGGAACAAAATACATACTTTTTTAATGCTTTGTGCTTGTTGTAACGTTTATATGACAGGAGAGATTAGAATTCAAGAAACTTAAAAAATTTCCTAGAACAATTAAAAACTTTTCTCAGTTCTTATTTTTTCTGTAACATTTATGTCTAGTTGTTTTGATTCAGAAAAAAAATGAATAAGTCATTGCTATAAGTTAAGAATATGAAATTATTTGTGTTGTGATAAAATAAATGTAGTCCACATAGACACAGGATATGTGCCTATTTTAGTACCTACGACTGTTTGTAATAACCGTGAGTCATGACGGTTGCGCTGAGCACTAGTCTGAACACTTATTACGATGTATCTGCCAGTTTTTAGGCTTTTTCGCTAAATATTTAAGTTAAATTGGTCACGAGCAATATTTCGAAAAAGAACATCTTGTCAGAATTCTATGTCGCATCATCAATGAATAAATCATGTGTACCAGTCGTTTAATACAAAAGCAAGTGTATTAGAACAATATACTCTTTTCAACAAAAGTTTTGGAAACTGGACGTCCACGGTCAGTCAAAATCAGGCATTTTTGGAAAATAGTAGCACAGTCAGAACACTAACGGTGCTCTCGTTTTGGAGAGGAGCAACGGTAGATGGTGTTCTCGCTACGTATGATGTATTATCGAAGATAAAAATGACCAGTAGAATAGTTAACGGCGAAAATAGAACACTAACGTCTCTCTTATTCTGGAAGTGGTAATGGAGAGTGTTGTTACTCTTCATAATGATTATGTGTTCTTGATAGCAAGGCTTACGGAGTGACGGCGCCACCTGCCGCTGTTTTCCGAAACACGAGGGATGCTTGTGTTTTGACTCCGCCACTAGTGAACAAGAAGTGAGGGATTAAAAAATGCAATTTTTAGTAGGACGTTCTCTGTGGATAGGGTTCCTTTTTTTATTGTTCTGCCATTTGGGAATATGAGAATAGTGCATAAATGTGTCGTCCAATGTTATATACTTTTATTCCTTCTAGTTTCCACCTGTAGAAAATGTTGTGAATAATTCATTTTAATTACTTGAAATGATTAATTATGCATAATAAGAAATATTTCAGTTGGCCAAATAAATATTCATAAAATAGTCATGTGAATCATGTAATTATCTGTTGAATTAATCATCTGCTGGCCATCTATCTAATTTTTCTTGGCTCTAGTTTAAATCACACTTTTTTAAAGTTGATACCGCGAGTTTTTTTGCATCTTAAAAGAATAAATATATTCACATAATGTTCATGTATATTTTAACAATAAGATCATTAAAATCGTACTATCGTTGACAAGTTATGTTTAGTTTTAACTAACTTTTCTAAGACTAACTAAGAATACAATATAATAAAAAATAATTTTCTCTATTTACTTATATATAATAAATATTTTATTCCTAAGAAAAATCCATCATAATTTATGGGATATAGGTTTATTCTTTTATCTATACTTAATTTGCTTAATCTTTGTATCACTAATAGATTATTGCATCTATTAAAAGAATGAATCATTTGTTTTTTTTTATAAATAGATTGTGTTAATTGATTTAAGATAAATATTAATTTGTTATTTACTCAGTGGTTATTCTCATAATTCCACTGTTTATTAAATGGTATCAAAATGGTCTTCGAAAATTTAGTTGTCTATTTACTTGACAAATATTTGGGTGATTATATTGAAAATTTAGATACAAAAAAATTAAAAATTGATTTATGGAGTGGTGAGTAAAAATAAAAATAAATTTCTTCTATTATTAACCAATTTATTATTCTTAGGTAATGTTGTTTTGGAAAATCTTTATTTAAAATCAAATGCATTGGTATATTTATTTTACTAATTGATATAGAAATTGATATTTGTTTTTTTTTTTAATTTATTATAGGCTGATTTAAATCTTCCTGTAACAATATCAGTTGGATATTTACGTATGTTAAATTTAGTTTTGTTTTATAGAAAAAAAAAATCTTGATTTTCATTTTTTAGAAAAATTAACACTTCAAGTTCCATGGAAAAATTTATATACATATCCAACTAAAGCAACGATTGATGGACTTTTTTTACTTGTTGTACCTAAAACTGGTGTCTTGATTGTTTTCTTTTTCGTTTATTAAAATTTTCGTCTTTTGCTTTTTTTTAATGTAGAAGTTCAATATGATTCACAAAGAGATGAAAAAGAACAACATGAAGCAAAAATGAAAGAAGTTCGACAAGTTGAAGAACTTCGAAAACGAAAAGAAGCTGAAAGTAAAATTAAAATAAATTAAAAAAAAGAATGAACGAAGATTATCTTTCGTTTTGTTTTAATCAACATATAGAAAATGCCAAAGAAAATGATAAAACAAATGATACATTTGTTGAACGTATGCAACTTCAAATTATTCGAAATCTTGAATTATCAATTCGAAACATTCATATTGTCTATGAAGATAAATCAACTAAACCTGATCATCCATTTGCATTAGGAATAACACTTAATTATATTACATTTCATGTATTATATCAAATAAATTTTATCTTTTTATTTAAAAAAAAAACAAAAAAATCTATTTTATTTCATAGACAACAACAGCAGATTGNTCGAAATCTTGAATTATCAATTCGAAACATTCATATTGTCTATGAAGATAAATCAACTAAACCTGATCATCCATTTGCATTAGGAATAACACTTAATTATATTACATTTCATGTATTATATCAAATAAATTTTATCTTTTTATTTAAAAAAAAAAACAAAAAAATCTATTTTATTTCATAGACAACAACAGCAGATTGGGAGCCAACTATACTTAAAGAAGATACACCATTGATTCATAAGGTAAGAAAAATAATCTATTAAAAAGAAAAAAGATTTTTCGAAATCAAATGAATGTAAGACGAAAATGAAAGGCAGATAGAAAAATGTATTACTCATATTGATTTTAAAATAAACAATAGTGAACTCATATTCTAATTGAAAATCTAATGATGAAAATGATTTTTTTTTTAATATTAGCTTGGTGAATTAAGTGCTTTCTCAATTTATTGGAATACAAATGCTAAATCTCGGTCAGATTTACCAAGAGATGAAGCTATTGTATGTTAATTATTTCATTGATTATTTTAAATTTTAATTTATTTTTAAAAACAGAATGATCTAAAAGAGAAAATTGCTATTGATAATCAACAAGTACCATCTGATCTCGAATATAGTAAATTTTAATGTTACTTTTTTTTTTCTTTTCTTCAGTATTCTTTATTAATTTCATTTAGTTCTTCGACCACTTTATATCAAAGCAAGACTTATCTTAGCAATGAAACCACGTCAAGAAGGTTTTAAACGACCTATGTTTGATATTAAAGTTGATTTAGATGAAATCAGTTTAAACATGAGTCGTGATCAAGTAAAATTAAATGAAAAATTCATTTTAATGATTTTTAATTTTTAATTATTTAGTATTCGGATTTACTTGATCTACTTGAGTTTCAAGATTATCTTATTGTTAGGTCAAAATACATCAAATATCATATACAAAAAGATAAAGAAGAAAGTTCAAATTTAAAAAAGTAAAATATTTTTAATTTAAAAATAATATTTTTCATTTTTATTTTTAATATTTAGGTGGAAATTTGCTTATGAAGCCATTGTTAATGAAGAAATTCGACCAAGATTTGAATGTTATAAATGGGAAAATATCAAAGCACATTTAGATCGATGTAGAGAATATCGTGCGATTCATCTTCAAGAATTAACTGGAAAATTAACAAATGAACAAAAAACACGAGTAGAAGTAAGAAGAAAAGAATTTTAATGAAATAATTCAAAGAAAATTCGTTTTTTTTTCTTCAGGAATTAGAAAAAAAACTTGATGTTTTCAATTTAACATATATTCGTCGAAGTGCAGAAATCGAAGCGAAAAAAAAGAAAGAACAAGAACCAACAACTTGGTGGGGAAGTGTATCGAATTGGTGGGGTGGAAGTAAACCTTCAGATGATCCAGGTTTTATCTTTAAACTCTTTATGAACTAATTCTCTCTTGATCTTTTTTTTTTATTATTATTAGAACTTGACTTAGAAAAAGTCATGTCACCAGAAGAAAAAAACAAACTTTATGATGCTATTGGTTATGCTGGTGAAGATACTTCAACATCGACTTATCCTGAAGAAGTTTGTTTTTTGTTTTTCTCTATTTTCTTAACCTCCCAATAGCATTGAAACCTAGTCTAAAGATTATAATTTTTTTGACATAATCGAAGTTCACTGTGTTCGATCTGGACGCAAAATAAACAATATAAGAAATTGGATACATCATTAGCTCATCACTTCTCACTATTCAATTCTAGCTCTGTTCGTGTGTATGATTACTTTTGTGTCATGTTTTCTTCCAATGGATAAATCACTGATCGAATACTTAGTACATTACTTGGTACTTTCCGTACGTTTTACTTGAAGAACTTTAAGTCCGACGACATGAAATTTTTACTAAACAGTTGTACTTTGTACTTGTACTGAAGTCATAGATGGACTCAGTATCGTTTACCAGCTGGTCCAGTACCGTCCACTTCGGGTCTTAGATCGGCCTGTCTGTCAACAGATCGATCATTACTGCTGTGTCTTTTTTATTTATTTTCACTATTATTGTCTCATAAAGGATGTGTAATGAAACTTTGTTGCAAATTGATTACTTCAAATATCATTATTCACAGATAGAATACTACGACAACTCTTCAGTCCAGTATCCTTTTGGATTTCAGACCGACTGGTTCCGTCTCTGACTTAGGTACGGTTGTACTTAGCACCCGTACTAAGTATAAATGTACTAACAACGATGCTCTCTTTCCTAACGCGATACTTTTGGTTTTTTTCATTTTTTTGACTTTTTTCTTCTTGACATACGGTTCTAAATGCTCCCTATCTATGAGATTTATTTTTTAAGATTCTCGGATAGTCCTTTAAAGTTACAAAATTTATGTCACATTCAATCTTATGTGAGATAATGTTTCGTTGTTACCAAATCATATTCTTTGTTTATTTCTTTGTGAAATAGTTCTGTATAAATTTTTACTACCCTACTGAATCACGAAGAATATAAGAGATTTCAACGAAGAGTTAATATTTTTATTAGTTTGTAAAAATGACTAGTTGAAAAACATTAGCCTTTTAGAAGAAAGCAATCAACGAGTTTGAAGTTAACTGACAACCAACAAAAAATATATGACAAGGAAGATATAGTACATATAAAAAGCGTGAAACAATTAATTTATAACAAATTTCGATCTATGCGTTAGAAAAAACTAAAGCATGAAATAAATATTTTTTCATGCTTGTTCTTCTTGATGATAATATCAGACAGGTATAGGTTATGATAAGACTAACACTCCACATCCTTTAACAATTTTTTACTACTACAGATGTCATTAGACTATGAAAACAGTAGACATTGATAAAGAAATATTAGTCAAAGCAAAAGATTACATTGCATTTAGGTACATTGTAGTAAGTAGTACATTTGTACTCAGTACGAGTAGTAGAATATCAGTTACTTAAGTACGTTGGTACTCAGCACCAGTTCTAAGTACAAGTATAAAATATAATAGTTAAGTAAAAAGTACTTTTAATTGTACTGCTCCAATTACTGAGACAAATTAACTTTTTCGCGATCTGAAAATTATGTATGCACAATCACATATCTAACACAGATAAATAATGGCAGGCTCAAATTACGTGAATGCATATTGGACTTGATAGTAAAAATTAGTGTGAAATGGTACAATATCAATTTTTATAACACTCATAAAATCTGAACTATCCATGTCTTAGAAATAAGAATAAGATAATTAAACTATGTATCGTTTCACTTCTGAATTATGTACAAGCTTCTATGATGAAGTCTTTCAGTAAAATCATATCCGTAAATGCGTAAAGTTTCTAAAGCTCCGTAATTTCTTAGCTAAAATATTCTATTAACTATAATTGTTTGTATTTATACCAGGATTCATTGAATAGTGGAGACAGATGAAAATGTAGATGTGAAAAGTAGTGTAAAGAACTGATTATTGTGTCTACTTAATAGTATAGTACTGAGACAGAACTAACAGTCAATGTTTGATTCCACAGAAACTATTATAGAGATTCTGAAATTAGTAATACAATTTGAAAATTTCCAATTATCAATTATTGAACACTTCTATATTTGTAAGTTAATTAAAGTATAGCTACAACACAAAAAAAAAAGCTTAGTCGCAATGGAAAATCTACCTTAAAAGTTTTGATTTATAAGACAAATTACCAGTACATTGAGCTTCTGTTCTACGGAGGATTCAAATAAACAAAAAACATTTGTTTGTGTTTTTTAGTATGCTGATATCGACTTAGCAATTCATTTGAATATGCTTGATGTTAATATTTGGTCAAAAGTTAATGAAAATGATGCTGAGTAATTTTGTCTATTGAAAATATAAGGATTATTATCAAATTTAATTTAGATTTCGAATTATTGCCCGTAGTGTAATACCTGATACTGGTTTAATATTCAAACGACGACCAGCAACAGATGCAATTGCGTATGTTGCTTATTTGTTGGAAAAAGTAAAATTTAATATTTTATTTTTGTATGTTTGTTTTTGAATTAGTATCTTTATTGGTTTGGGGTCGTTTCAAGTGTTTGGTATTGCAACTGATTCAAAACAATCTGAATTATTAAATGAAAGTCGTCCTGTACTTGCTCGACCATCATCATTACCAACGTCTAATGAACAAAAATTATTACAAGTCGAATTTGAAACAAATCCCTTAGATAAAAAATCTGATTATCGTGTTAAAGTTATTTCACAATCATTGGAAATAAAATACAATGCAGTAAGAATATTATTATCACGAATGACCTATAAAGAACGGATCACTTTGTATTTTAAATATTTCTCAACAGCCTTTTGACATAACGAGACAATAGTTTTTTTTATTGATAGATTCCTCATTCGATTCTCTACAAATTTGCAACATTTACTTTTTTCTAATCAAGTTTTTTTGAATTTAATTTTTGTTAATGACTTTGTCAGTCCTTCTCTCAATCATACAATATTTCAATCAAATATCAGTCCAAAACTAGCTCTAATGAAGTCTTCAGAAGAATCGAAGACTTAATGCTGTGAGTAAATGATATTATTGCTCAAATTAATAGAATTTACATTGCTAAAACCACTTTAACATTTTCGAGGGACATTTTCTAGTTGACAAATCGATTTTCAGTCAAAATTTCATGCATTATGTACAGTCAAATAAGCTATGAACACCCTGAAACAATTTTGTAATCATAGCTTATTGTTGCGTAGATACTACATTTTTACAATGTGTTTTTTAATGAATACTGCGATTGTCCTCAGAAATATCGGGGAAGCTCATTTTCGAATTTCAACTCGAAACTTGGCATTCGAACATGCCTTGATGAGATTAGTTTCTTATGAAAGTTACAGATCTTTTCGTTGTTTCTATCCTAAGATACAGCTATGGTAAAAAATATGTCTTTTATACTGCTCATATACATCGGCAGATTCAATGTTCTTATTTCAGGATAAAAGCAAATCAAAAGACTTGAAACTTTCACAATAAACTACGCTCGTTAAGATCTATCTCGGTCAAAGTTTCAAGTCAAGATTCGAAAGTCTGTTTTCCTGATATTTCTGAAAGGAATCACAACATTTATTTAAAAAATATCGTAAAAATTTATTATCTATGCAGCAATAAATTAAGAACACGAAATCTTTTCAGGATATTTATTATTGCACGTTTGAGTCTTATGCACGTAGTTTCGACTCAAAAGCGATTTATCAATTGAAAAGCTTCCCTCGTTAGGACATTTGATCATTTTCCCTATATAGAAGAAGAACCTGTAAAATTGTTTTTCCAAAAAAAAACAACATTCTCTTATATGGAATCAAAAGCACAAGAATGGCAAAGATGGTCATATATATAAATTTTCACAGAAATTGTAGCAATTTCTATCTTTCAGATTAACAATAATAGTCATTTGTCTATATAATTAAGTTTTCGATCCTTCTGAAGATTTAATTAGAGCTATTCTCGTATTGATCATTAATTGAAATCTTGTATGATTAAGAGAAAGGCGAACAAAATCACTCACTAAGTCAAATGCAAAAAACGTTTAAAAAAAGGGTTTGAGTGTGCAGAATCTATCAAAACGATTGTTTCATTTTGCTACAAATCTGCTGAAAAATATCCGAAAATAGTGAGATGTCCATTTTTCATGAACCATTCGTTATATGTACAAAATTGAAACGTTGCTTTTGTTTTTAGCCAACAATTAATAAATTAGCAGAATGTTTTGAACCAGATGCTAAACGAAATTTACAAGGGTAAATAAAGTTTAAAGGAAATTTTGATCTTAATTTGTTTTCATTTAGTGTTAAACAAGTAGCTTATTCAACTTATACTGATGTTAAACATCGTTCTTATATATTAATGAAACATAATATCGAAAAAATAAAAGTTTTAGACATTGATATTGATCTTCAATCATCTTATTTTCTTTTACCTGAAAATGGAGTTTATAAAGAGTAAGAGATTATTTCATTTTTTGTTAACTGATAAAAAGAAGCCGAATGATAATTTCTTTTTCTTCTAGAGGTGTTGCAGCTATTTGCATGGATTTAGGTCATTTAACATTAAAACGAGGTACAAATGAAAAAAATGTTAGTGAAGAATCATTTTTATCAAAATCAGCAAAAGTAAAAATAATGTTTCATTTGTTCAATCTTCTATTTACTGTTCTTTAAAGGATATGGAAGATGCTAGAGAATTATCTTATACTCGATTCAAATTAAAACTTGAAGATATTCAATTAATTTATGCTAATCGGAGTACGAATATATTCCAATAGATAATTCAAAAACAAAATTTTGTCTTTAATTTAGATGAAAGTTGGGAACAAGCTCGAAAAGAAAAAAATACTCGTTTACATTTAATCAAACCTATGGAACTTGAAATGAATGCTGATAAATGTATTTATAATGATGATGCTATTTTACCAGCGTATGATTTGTTTTTTTCTTTTGTTGCAATGAAATATCCTAATAATTTCGTCTCTTAATTAGATGGAAAATAGCTGGAAATGTCCCAAATATAGAATTACATTTATCAGATAAACGTCTTTTTCACATAATTAATCACATTCAATCAATTCATTTTCCTGAATCGAAACATCCAATTCATGATCAATCTTTGATTGAACCTGAAGTCTATAAAAAAAAACAACCAATTTTATTTGAATAGAATAATAACAATTTGTATTATTTAGGTAACAACCGCACAATCTTTACTTAGTAATCCTGAAGAAACTTATGAAAAAGTGGAAGGAATGACACCAGTTAAAAAAACTTTAGAACAATCACAAGTTGATGAAAATTTCACAGAAGACACTGAGAAAGAACAAAATTCTTATGAAGGACAACTTATACAATTAGAAGCAAGATTTACGCTTGATAAGGTAACTAGTTAATTTTTTTTTAAGGGAGAAACAGCAGAGATTTCACTCTTAAAGTCTTGTGAAAGCTGAAGAAGTCTTTGAGTTGCAACTTTTAATATTACTAATTTTTCAGAAGAAATTGCACTAAATCTCAAAGCACTTTTTTCTCATTTCTTAAGGATTTCTCCCTTTTTCTGGACCACTTCTGGTTCTCCACAAGAGTACAACCAATCAGACTCAAATTTTTACTACAACTAGATTAGCGAAAGGGACGGGACTCATGTTCGAGAAAAAAATTTTAAAAGCAGGTGTTTAAAAACTATTGGATCTGCTTACGAGTCTAGTCGCTACTTTGTCTGATCGAGCTGAAAGTATTTCTGAAGGTATCTCGAACAAAATCTTAGAGTTATTTTTTACTCTAGTAGAGAATCAGAAGTGATTCAAACGAGAGAGAGAGAGTACCAACAGTCATAAAAATAAATCCCTATTATGCCAGTCAAGAAAACAAAAATGAATTGATGACAATTTTTTTATAAAGAGTTTAATGAATTTTCAATTATCTCACAAAGTTTCTCTTATGATTCTGGATCTGTGGATGGATGTTTCAGAATTTTGGAGAACGGTTTTGAAGTAAAAAAAAATGCCATTGTTGTATTCTTAATTTATAGTAATAAAAGTTTTATAGAGCAAGTATGGGCTTGTGAAAACATGATTTTGTAAAGCGGACTTAGAAATATCAGCATATCTTTGTTCTAAGTATTTTTCTCGTCAATGCAAGCCTCGGCAAGTTTGAAAAGGTCATTGAAGCATACAACACAAAAATTTATATCTATTGATATTAAATAATTTACTTTTGGCATCGGCTATGATGAATAACGGCTTTACACCAATCAATAAATGTCGACAAAGAATAGGATATCGTAGTAGAATGACTGAGTAGACTTGAATCTTTTAAATTAGGCGACGACAAGACTAAACTTATTTGAAAAACAGAGTTGCAAGTTTTATACAACTTGAAACTCTGTTTCTTTTGGCATATAATGAAAATTTTTCTTTGCTTAGAAAATAAGATAAAAAATAAAATGGTTTTGCGTAATATATTATGAGACATCCGTTATGTTGCAGTGTCATGAAGTCTTAAAATCTGCTGTTTCCCACTTGATTTTTTTTATTAATAAATAAAATATATTTTTTTTGCTTTTTATTCAATAAAAGATTGATTTACATATTGATCAAGCATTACATAATTCTGATGAAAATGATGATGATGAACCATTTCTACATCTTACACTTGAATCAATAATTGCTACAACAAAAATAAAAACATTTGATATGGAATTTGATGCATCATTAGCTGATTTAATACTTTATCATGAACAATTTATTGGAAAGGATAATCATCGATTATGTTTATTATCAACACAATTAAATAAAAATAGTTCTAATCAAATTAATCAACAAAGTCAAAAATTAGTTAGTATACGTTTTCTCCATACATCACCAGAAAATCCCTTATTATCATCACATTATAATGGAATTGAAAATAAAGCTCATGTTCATTTTACAAAACTTGTTGTTATTTTACAATTAGAAGCACTTTTATCAATATTAAGATTTCAAGATACTTTATCGAAAAAAATATCTAAAGATATATTAGGTGATGATGCGAAAAAGAAAAATGAAGAAAAGAAACAACAACAATTAAAATTGCTAGAAAATAATAAATCATTTGGAAGATCTTTATCTACATATGGAAAATTGGTTAAGAAAAATGGTAAGAATTGTTGTCAAACAAAAAAATACTGTCATATTTTAGGACAAGATTTAAGTCAAATATAATATAGATGTCGTTATAAAAGAAAGAAGATAAAAATCTTGTTCATAATCTTTCGAGGAAAAGTGATGTATCAAAATTTTGAATATCACTGATTTTCAATGTTCTATTGCAACGTTTTTCTAGAGCCCATTGGGTTCAAAATTTTTGGACCCGGTCGAATCATACTTTGATAATCTCAATGAAATTTTCTAATCTAAATTGGATGATCGCCTACAAGATATGAGATACTTTTTTTCGGGACCTTAATATTCAGTGACTAGCACATCCTATAAGTTTCTCAGACAACTAGAGCTCATCGGGTCCAAAATTTTCGGATGCGGACCCGATAAAAGATCCAGGTTCAATCCGACCCGATCCACTTTGTTCAAAGAAACTATCATTTGACTATATTCTAAAGTTGTCACACTGGTAGAAGTCTAAGGAGTTTAAGCATAAACGAGAAGAGCTTCTTTCTGTTCGTACCAGAACATAATATCTAGCTGGATCTTCTAAACAGTACTTTCTTTGGTGTTGTCATCGAAGCTGGGTAATTACAAGTATGCACTCGAGATTTTAGACAAAAGAAATTATTTCTTGTGACATCGTAACGATAGAAACGTCAATGCGTAAAAACAATCAATTAATCAATACAGTACTACCATTGGATCTATTTTGCGAAACTTTATCGTGGATTACTACTGTTGACACTGATTAACACGCGTTACTTCGACGTTTTTTTCAGTTTCAAAACTCAGTTCAGTAGTTTCTTAAGTTATTTACGATGCTGATGTTCACTGACTTCGTACTCTGTCTAAGATGTGTTCAAACTATTTTTCCGTTGGCATTAAAGCTAAATTCCGTTATATGTTCTTATTAAATCTCATATACTAAAATTTCCGGAAATATTCTTCGATACATATATCTGTCTAGAAATCGAAGATTTTTTCGAGCTTTAGTAAGATAAGTAGACTAGCTCTCCTCTTCACTAGTACCAAAGTCACAATAATAGGCAATCAGATCCAATTGAATGGATATATGACGGGCAAATACTTTCTCTACAATATTAAGGATAATAATAAACCTACCTTTGAGTAGAATATTCTTCGAGTAATCGTACTCAAGAAATTCCGTACATGTCCAGTTCTAGTTGTCATATGTTATTTAGTTCCTATCTTATATAGAAAGGACTTCTATTTAGTTTCGTATAGTGAAATCGCTGCAACAAAACACTGATTATAAAATCGTTTAAATGTGACAGAAATGAAGACGTAACTTAAAGTTTACTTGCTACGCTCTCTATGCTAAAATGCTTTCGATTTTGCTAAACTTTAGCGAATGATTTTGACATCAAATCTGATACTCAAGTCAAATAACTTGATCACTTACATAAAGTCTATATAAAAGTGGTTTATTATTCTCATAATAAATTTCGCTCTTTCGACTGACCAAATTATTCTATTTAACACTTTCATAATTATTATTCTTACGTTAAATTACTTTAAAAATTCATCCATTCAATACAAAATATTCTGAAAAATCATTAGCATTTGAGTATATTTGCATCTAAATCAAATTGCTATACACTAAATTGAATCGATGATCAATTTTGAGATCGTATTCATAAGTTGAGATTATAAATATTGTTTTATTTAGATGTTCCAGTAACACCTACAATTAAAGTTAAAGCTGATTTAGAAGAGTTTCAAGTAATAATTTCATCAAAAGTAACTCAATTATTTGATATTCAAGTTCAAGGTATGATTTTATTTGATTAATATTTTTCTGAGTTTTATATTGAGTCAATTCAGGTGTTAAAGCTGATATATCTCAAGCACCAGAAACGACAATAGTCAATTTAATTCTTTCAGATTTACGTGTTTTTGATCCATATGAAGGAGCACGATATCGAAAAGTGAGAAAGACAAATTGTAAAATAACCCTGTCAGATTTGTTAACCTATCTTAAACAAGAATACTATATATGTGGTTTTATAGAGCAATTTACAGTGCATCAAATGGTATATAAGAAATCAATCTTTAGATATGTCGAAGGTCGATATACTTGTTACAATCCATGAGAAGTATATGTATGATACTTATAGACGTTATGGTCCCTAAGTTATTCTATGATAAACTTATTCATATTTTGTTTTTAAATTCAATTAGATATAGTTGCAGTTGCTCTTTCATTCTCTATAATGAATAGTTTCCATCGTTGCTTTAAAAATAATCTCTTCGTTTAAGTGTAGGTCATTTCTTGACTATATGATATTTCTGCGTATTCTGTGACACAAAACAAGTGAGTACTAATATGAAAATTTCTCAAAACTTACATACTATCGAACTCAATATGTTTCACACATAGCATCTTTAAGAACAATAGGGATTCATTGTCAGCTAGCAAGATTGCTCTTTGGAATAGCCTATCTGTTATATGAAGGCGATCAGTATATTAACAATATTTTAACAATACTCAATAGTTCTATTAAAAATGTTCATGGTTCTGTAATGAGCACAACATTCAAGAGGAACTGATATAAATAACCCGTTCTTAAACCGAAAAATTGTTGACTTTCAGACTCCAAGAGAGAAGGTAGAGATGTAGGTTATAGGAAAGAGGTCTGTTATTTTTATTATTTCTTTTTCAAATTTTTATTTCGAGTCTTCTAAGTTTGATTTATGCATGAAACTCTAGAAAAATCTATAATTCATGTTCATTTCAAAAATAAATATCTCCATATTCCCGTACACCATTTCAGAAGTTTGTTAGTCAACATTTGTTGTCCGCTTATAAAAGAGCTATTTATATTAGTTCATCTTGAATGCTGTGCTAATTATAGAATCATGAAAATTGCTAATAGAACCGTTGAGTATTGTTAAAATATTTTCAATATACTGATCCTATCATATACAAGATAATAGGCTGTTCTAAGAGAAAAAAGCTTGCAAATTGACAATGAGTCTCTGCTGTTTCCGAAGGTGTTATGCGTGAAACATATACAGCTCGATATTATGCAATTTGTGAGAAAATTTCACGTTAGTATTCACTTATTTTGTGTCACAGAGTTGAACACAGTGGCATATCATATAACCAAGAAATGATCTGCGCCTAAGAAAAAGAATGAGTTCAAAGCAACGATGAAAACTATTGATTATAGAAAATAGAAGAGCATTTGTAACTGTATCCAATTGAGTTTAGAAACAAAAATTTATATAAATTTATCATAGAACATCTTAGAGACCATAATGTTTATGTGTACAATATATACCTCTCATGGATTATAACCAGTTGATGGACCTTCAGATCATCAAAAACTTGATTTCATATATATCATTCGATGCATCACAAATCGCTCTACAAAACCATATATATGGTATCATCGTTCAAGATAAGTCACCAAATCCGGTAAGGTCCTGTCTATTTAAATATATATATTTTTTTTTTTGAAAAGATTGTTTCTCAACACGGCGATCATAAAGAATTACTTCGTGTTACTGTATCTTTATTTAATTATCCTGAAGAATATGAAAAACCAGTCGATGTTGTCGATTGTGATGTTAAAGTTCAATTTGCTAAAGCAAATATTATTTTTCTTTTTAAACATATCGATGCAATTTTGGTAAAGAATCTGACAAAAAGAAAATGAAATTGAAATTTTCTTTTTCTTTTTTTTCTTCTTTAAAGATTTTTCTTGATTCATTAAATATAACTAAAGCTGCATTGGATTTAGCATCAGCACAAGCAGATGCAGCTTATGAACAAGTACAAAAATTACAAGAACAAGCATTTAAAGTTCATCTTAATATAACATTTAATGCTCCAAATATAATCATTCCAACAAATTCATATTCTGATGAAGCACTTTTATTTGATTTAGGTAAATTAATATTAAAAACACGTTTTTATGATGATCCAAAACGATCACTTAATGAACAACAAAATGTTCGATTGGAAAATGTTCTTGCAAGTCGCGTTAAACTTAATAGTGAAAATAATATTCTTGGTGAAGTTATTCTACTTGAATGTGCTGAGTTAAATGCGATAATTAATCGTTTACTATATCCAGAAAAAAATAGAACAGAACCAGGAGTTTCAATTAAAGTTGAATGGGAATTAGTTCATGTAGGTTACGACATTTACTATTTTCTTTTGTATTACATCTTGATTTGCTGTTCTTTTTTGAATAGTTTCAATTAGCAAAAGGTGATTATTCTTGTATTATGAAAGTTTTAATGGACAATTTTACCGAAAATATTCGAAATCAAATATTGGAAAACGAACAAATTGAGCAATATCATTATAGAGAAGAAGAACGAGAAAAAGAAGAAGAAGCTTTAAGAAATGCTGTTATTAAACAACAACAAGGTTTAGATTTTATTTTATGAAAATGAACGATTTCAATGTTTTGTTTTGTTTTGTTTTGTATAGATGTCTATGGAGATGATATATTACAAACAGTTAAAATTCGAGCAGAAATTAAGAAATTAGCATTAACACTTTATCTTGGAGAATCTGATCTGGTTAGTATTTATTTGTTTTAAAACTCAACTAATTCAATTATCAATTAATTTTTTGAAAACTATTTGTTTTTATAAGATTGTTTAACTATTATACTGCTAACCAGGATTGTCAATATTTTTTAAGGGTAGAAAGGCCTGAAAATGATTGCAGAAAGTGATGAACGAAGTGTGAAGAACGAAACCCACTGTAACCAGGTCTCTCCTACAATAGGCGACCTGTCACTAGACCATGCCCCCCCCCCTCCCGGAAGCCTGTTCCTATCCTATTCACTTCACTACAATATTGTCTGCTTATTTTTATTTCACTTTCAGACAGAGAAAGACAAATTCTGTTTAAAAATTTAGTTTCCGTTCAAAGTTACCATGAAGCTGTAAAATGTTGGCAGAAAATCGGACATTTGGAAGGAAGAGCTTCTCTACCCTAATCGAGAACCCTACTACTAACTTAGACAATAAACTTTATTATGTCAAAATCAGTTCTACGATGTTTTGTTTCTTATGAAGAGTTTTTACGAAAATATTAAAGTAGAGATGTACTATTTCAGTTTACTGACCGCCAACGTCATTAATTCAGTGTAAGGTCGTGAGAAAAGTTTAACAACAACGTATTTTTAATTTTTTTTTCTATAGTGTTAAGCAATTATCTCAGATCCTGAAAGTCATTTTAATAACCAGTGTAGTTTTCTATCTAATGTATTCTATGTTAATCACGATTTCATAGATGAATTGTGATGGCAAAGTTTCTTGAAAATCGAGCAAAATAATTTTCAAGTTCTAGTAGACTTTATCGGAAGTCTTGTTTAACGAAAATATCACAAAAACCAAAAAAACACGTTTTATAGCAATTGTTTTGATAAATTTCGTTTTGTTACGGTTTTTGAGATTCTTGTAACCTTTCAAAGAAAGGTTGTAGAAAATATGGTGACCCCTCATCTTATTCAGAATTTTATGCTTTTTACAATAGCATTGTTAAAAAAGTAACTTCAACAAAGTCTTCTACGACCTAAAAACTACTGTATCCGGTTTTGTTTTAGAAATCTTGCCATTATAGTTTATCTATGAATAATTAATATAGAGTGTACTAGATAGAAAACTCCATAGGCTGTTAAAACTATTATCTTGATTCTAGTTAATTGTTTAACATCATATAAAATAATTAAAAATATGTTGTTCTTAAACCAGTGTTCATTGAAGTATTAGAACACACGGCTACAAAAAAAGGCATATTTTGATAGAGTTAGTGTCTTAATATGACAGCGAACGCAGGTTTCAGTTTAGTTCATGATTCAGTGAACATCGATTTCGGTGTAGTCAGTGTCTCGGTGGATCTTATGTTTTTTACTCACTGTTCAGTATTTACACCAACAACACTACATGTCCATGCATTAAAGGAATTCATATAGTTTTTATGATGTCAGATAATGATTTCAACTCAATCCAGACGAAAAAAAAATTTATTATTTTTAAACTTTTTTTTTATATCTAACTTGATAGACGTGTAGTTTTCTTAAAATCTTATTGATAGCATAAATTCGAATCCAGAACGCAATATTAACCATTCTTTTAGGGTATTTAGAAACTTTTATGCTTAAAGTATCTAGCAGTATCATACAAGTGATCATCATATGCTTATATATGGGTGCGTAGTGTGTGTCTTTGATGATTGATATTAATGTTTTGAAGTTTATTCTTAAAAAAAATATCTTTTGATCAATATTCTTTGATTTAAACTATATATTTGCATAGACTGTTCGTCGTGTTCCACGTAATGAAGATCTTAAATTAGCTGATGTTAAAATCGAAATGTTAGAAGCATTATTTAATCAACTATCTGATACAAGTTATAAAGCAATGGCACGTGCTAAAAATCTTGTACTTGACGATTTACGTGTAACAAATCAATCGGCAAGTTTAACACGTATGATTGATAGACATTTTACAGTTGATCCGAATACTCATATGTTTATTGGTTCGTTTCAATTTAAACCAAAAAGTTCATCGAATTCAATGCCATTTCGACAATGTAAATCAAAAAATTAAAACTACATATTTTTTTTTGTAATTTTGTTTTTCTTTAAATTTTTAGTGAGTGCACAACTTGAAAGTCTTTATATTTGTATTAGTTTGGATTATTTAATGATATTACAAGATTTTTTTATATCCGGTTTGCCATCGGGTGTTAATAGTAATGTATCAAACTCTGATACATCAACGTCAAATCAAACAAATCAAATCGATAGTGAAAGAAATCGAGTAAAAATAGGTGAAAGATTAAATCGACTTTCAGCTACAGTTACAAGACCTTCAATGTCACCATCAAAAGGTACGTAGAGCATAAGATAATTTGTTTTTGTCAGCCATTGAAAGACAAATATTCAAAGGTTGGTTTTAGTATATTTTTTTTTAAATACTGTCGCTCAGCATCAATACATTCGTACAGTCGAGTAAATCAATAATTGTTTTTCAGATTGTCAGTGACTTATTTTAATCCATTCAATATTGTACAATTGTCGTCAAACTGAAACTCACATAGTTGATGTTTTAGTTTTGAGAAAAAGAAAAAGTCGTACTGACTTAGAGCTAAAGAACCAAGTGAATTTGGATATGATTCCACATGATTTTGACCAAAAATTTGTTAATAACTCAGGCTTTATGAGATTTTTCATTGTTGTCATGGACAATGAGACCTCGTAGATCGGTCTTTTGCTTCCGTTCTGATACAGTTTTGAAAATTTGTAGTAGGCAACTGTTGACGTACCCATTTGCATTTATTGTCTCATTAGGTTCGAATATTATAGACTTGATTGAACCAAACTTTATGAAGAAAGTAGCTACTATTCGTTTGTCTATACTTTTGTTTCGATGAACTCTGATTGAGCTTCGATTGCTTTCTAACACTCAAACTTTTGTCTGCTCTCTTGTATTCGGATCATGATGATAAAACCATAATTCATCACTAGTAATAATGTCGAATACACAGTGAGAATGGTTTTATCCAAATCTCTTGAATGACTAAAGACAAAACTGATTACGCAACTATTTTTTATCATCAGTCAGCTGATGAGGCATCCATCGAGCATAAACTTTGTGGAACTTCAAGTGACCATGAATTATTGAATTGATCCATGTTTTCTATCTGTTTGTAATTTGAATAAGGATCATTTTTAATAATTTGTCGAGCAACATCAATCGTTTCTTTGTTGACAGCAGTTGGAGAATGATCCGAATGGGCACCATCTTCAATAGTGAAATTATCGCGTTGAAATTGATTAAATCAATTGAGAATTGTACGATCTGAAGGTACTTGAGCTCCTCATGTCTGCATCAAACGAGCATGACTTTCATTATATGTTAAGCCAATTTTTAACTCATATGGAAACATTGTTTGAAACTTTTCTCTTGACAGGTTGAAATTCATATCGGAAAAGGTCTATGAATAATCTATAAGAAATGAAGAATTACAACGATGCTAAAGACCTAAAAGCTTGAAACTTTGCGCATAATTGTAAACATGTATAAGAATTTACAGTAGAACACTTAAAGCCAAATTATGGCTTTTAGGCGAATCGATCGAAAATTCTCCTATAGTTTTCTATCTATGTATTTCATTTTGTTTTGAAAAGATTTTTTTATATAAAAAATAAATTCCTTTTAGCTTTTGTACTTCAATCTCCATATTCATCACATCAAAACACAGAAATTGAAACACATGTTGATATTATTGTTAAAAATCCTGAAGTTATTTTACTTGAAGATCAACATAATCTAAATTCAAATTGTCTTGTACTTGATGTAAATTTATTAATTAAACAAAACGAAATAGAAGAAAAGACTCGTTCTTTTTTATTTTTCAAATTTTTTTTAGTTAGCTTTACAAATGCGTATGATAACGGTTGGTGAAGATACAAAATTATATGGTTGGTTAAAAGATTTAACAGTTTATAGTTCAAATTTTCGTGAATTAAAAGATTCAAACAATTCGAATTCTAAAATAAAATATCGCGTAAGTTAACAAATAAAAACTTTTTATTTTATTCTTTTATTTATTTTTAATCAGATTTTACAACCAGCTAAAGCTGATGTTATTATGATTCTGGACAATAAACAACAAAAAATTGACGTACGAATTTCGGATATTATTGTTAGCATTGCACCAGCAGCAGTTCGAACATTAATTGCTGTTACAAGTTCATTAGGAACACTTCAAGTAGATAAAATAATGAAAATGTTTTTATGTTTATATGTTGTTTGATTGGTTTTGTTTTGTAGACAACAGTTCAAGAAAAAGAAAAAGTCAATGTAAAAACCTTATTTAATCCAAAACCATTTAAAGATGCAAATTTTTGGTTTACAAAAGGTTTTCTTTCCTGCGTGAATCAATGAATTATAATTTTTTCTTTTGTTTTTATTTAAATAGATACTGAAGAAAAAGAAAAAGAATTAGAAACAGTTGATATATTAGAAACTGTAACAGGTATACCATCACAATATAAAGAAGCTAAAGAAGAGGAAAAGAAAAGAAAAGAAAATGAAGAAAATATGGAAATACAAAAGCTATTAATACAACAAGTAGAAAATATAAAGAAAAAGAATTTTTTTTAACAAATAAATTTAACATTTTTATTTTAGTTAATTTTAACGGTGGATACAATTGAAGTTAAACTTGAAGTTGGTTTAGGTTCAATTACCAAATCTGTTGTTGCTATGTGTTTATCAAATTTAACTGCTGATGTTAAAAATTGGTCATCGACAGTAAGAACAAAAAAAATTTTTTTTTTCTTTTCTTTTATTAAAGTTTATTCTTGTAAATTTAGCTAAGCCTTGCATCGACTGTTAATATTGAAGCTGCGTTGTTCAATGAACGTATGCTTACTTGGGAACCACTTATTGAACCAACGATTGATGAAACTGGAAGTATTTCTTTACCATGGTGCATTACATGTTCTATTTTTCCTGTAAGTCTTATTTAGACAGTATCTTTTGTAGAGTTTTGCGGAACAACCTCTAATCCAGAAAAATCCCATCTCGCAGAACATTCGGGATAAAAAACATTTTGAAAATTAAACGGACCGAAGCAAACAAGACTTGGGGCTTGAGAAAAGTTTGTCCCACTAGACGCTAATAGAATGACATTTTCATGTTTTTTCCGGTCAACGGTACACAACCTCATATTTATATTGGATTCAATTATAAAACATGAAAGTCTTGATATTCGGTCAGATGCTAAAACCAATTACAGATCAAACAACTATAGATCATATCTGAATATAATCTCAGAACGGGCACTGAGTGGTTTTGAAAGATCACTGAACTCGATAAAAGTTGATCATTATACTGAAAAAACAAAGCTTGTATAAATCATAGCCACAGAGGGATTGAATTTACGAAAACAAAAGAATTTTCTTTTCGAAAAAATATAACAAAATATATGCTGACGGTTAAAAATTTCTCATGAATATATTAATGGTTTTTCTGGCTTTAATCGATTGTTTCATTGTAATTCAGAATAGATAACTGAATATGAATGTTTTATCAGATAAAGTCTCTCGTCTTATTTTGAGTGCAGTGTGAAACATAGCATTTATGTAGTCGACCGCGTACACATTCGATCACCATACTTTGCTGTAATGAACTCTATTTTGTCTCGCAGTCATCTAGAGAATGTCAAGTCATTAGAAACTCATCGGAACTTTGTCAGAGAAATCCATGTGTCGAGATGATACAAACGTTTTTGAATCTTCAGTATGAGTTTTCGTTCATGTTTGCTCATACTTCAGACAGCTATGAATACAACTGATGATAGATAATGAATGAGAATGATAATCGAGCGATCAACCAGTAATCTTCATTAGAAATATGTTAATAGAGCTGTGTTAGTAATGAGTCTCGAAATGACTCCTTGTCATTTTCATTTAGTTTTTAAGCAACTGAATACGTATCTTTCTGATTTATAACAACAGAAGAAAACCTGATTCCAATAAAACGTAAATATCTTTTCGAAAGAAACGTTTTATGACGAATTGTCAAAATGATTACTTCTCATTTTTTTTACAAGATATTGATTCTTGCGATAATCGACATTTTATTATCGTTGTTAAATACACTATGAATATAAATAAAATAAATTCTATATAAAATTAAAAAAACATACCATGATTTGAAAAAGATTTTTTTTTAAGTGTCATTCACACTTTAATCGATTTCAGATGTGTACAGCTTTAAAACAAATACAAAAACATTGTACATCATCATTAGCCATCTAATACAGTTCTGTACAATGTTTTTTTTTTCAATCTTAATATGTTCGATTGATTGGCTTTATTAAACTGCGATTGAAAAGTTTACTCAAGATTTTTCTTTCTCAGATACGATTTTAAATCGAAAATTAGAATATATTTTGATTTTATCTAATAATTTATAGTTGAGTAATGAAGAAGTCGAAGAAATCAAAAACATTTGTAAAGTATGTTGCTACAATTTGGGTAAGAGGGTTATTTTAACAAGACTATTTCACGCTATGCTAAACCATAACTATTAATTCTAATAAAATAATATATATATTGACAAATAAAAAACGATTATCTATTGAAAGGCATTACCAGAAATTACGTGGGGATCAGCTGCAATAAAAGAACAAGAACGAAAAGAAGGTATTCTGTCATCATATTCTAAACACATAATATCTATTCGTGCTGATCAATTACTTAATATAACAATAACAAAAGCTGGCCTTAATTTAGTTCAGCATTTATCAGATTTATTTAATGATGTTTATAATAAACGATTACCATTTACTGATGATGATGATCAACCAATGTTATCTTTATTTAATAGAACAGGACAAGAAATAACCATTAATCATTTAGATGGTGTTGAAGTAAATTTAGATTCTTTTTTCTTTTTATATGCTTTGATTTTATTCATTTAAAAGATTGCCAAAAATACACTATTAACATCAATTGATTTAAAACACAATGAATCAATTCCATTAGTTGTACCAAATGAACGTCATTCAGCAACAAGACTGTCAGTTATTGAAGAACAAAGTTCTAAACGACGACAAGAATTTTCTGTTCAAGTAAAATAAAATATTTAAAATACTTAGTTCGTACCAAAAGTAATGACAGAGGTACTCTTTAATTCCTTATAAATAAAAAACTCTAAGAAATTATCTCTATATATAGGCTGACAGTAGAAACAATGTTCTATTTTTCTGTTCTCTTACATCACTCTTTAACTAAAATCATAATAATAAAATTTCAATAAAAGTTATTTATTATGACATGTGACAATACTATCAGATCGTATGTGTCTTTGGGATGTATCCTCTTCTTGACATTTGTGTCTCTTTTTCTCCTAGTCTCTATTAATGCCTAACCATCTATATATATTAGAGTACATGAAAAGGATTTTCAACAGAACAAAAAGAATACAGAGACCAATTCATCAAGTTTTTATTTCGTCAAACGTTCGAAATAATAGCCGTAGTTATTTATACATCATTGTATTCGTTAAATCCATAATTCGAATATTATTCTATACTCTTGTTTATTTCAAGAATTCATGAAGTTGGTTACAGAACAATACAACGATTCTAAATCGTTTTGATTAAGTGCAATAACCAAAATATCACATAGTGTCAGACCCAGAGAATCAGGTGGATGTAGAATTATTCTCATACATTCGGATTAGAGTTCGTCAAGTCCAAAATTTTCGGATGTAGACCCTACGGGGACTACTTTCTCATTTGACATAATAATTAGGAATACATAGTGTTTCATTAGAAATAGATAGACTTCATAGAAGGAACGGGGATAAAAGAAAGAAAAAGTTTAAGAAAAGGATACACGTCGAAGACAAATATGATCTGATATTATTATCACATATTATCACAAATAACTCTTATCGAAATTTTATTATTATGATATTAGTTGAAGAATAATGTAATAAAATAGTAAAATAGAACGTTGTTTTTACTATCATAGTGAGAAAGTTTTTTTAAGCTTTTTATAAAGAATTAAAGTACCTTCGACAATACTTTTGGTACAATTCAAGTAGTTTAATTAATTTAAAAACTTATTTATTTTTTTTAGATTAGAGATATTATTAAAACTGTTAGTATAAGTCGAACATGGAAACGTGTTTACAACTTAGGTCCATCACTAAACCCAAACCAGCCGATCGAAATACTTTGTGATGCACAAGTACGAAATAATCGTCGATATGTTATTCTTAGTTCAATTCTTAAAGTTTATAATAATACAACAATGTCCTTAGCAATTTTAAACATTGATTCGCTCAATACAAAAATGCGTCATAAAGTTACAACAATTCATGTTAACGATGAATACTATGTACCTCTTAATTTACTTTATACACATTCAAGTTCATTGATATTTATTGCAATTGATGAGTAATGAAACTTTTTTTTTCTATCGAACGAACTCATCCAATTGATAACCTTCGTTTGAACTCATATTTTTCTCATCGTATAGATAAAAATCCTGAAATCGTTCGTACCATTAGACCATTTTTCTCCAGTTACGATCATTTTATTGAACTTTCAGCCTATTGCAAGATGCACAGCTCAAATGGATGATTCCCTTTCATGTTATCGTATGCCTAAAAACTAGGCTATTTTTTAAGTTCTTGTGTGAAGTAACGCTTTTTGCAAACGTCTTATCTCAGAAGGAAAACATTCCATTAAATTGCGAATTTCAGGATATCATAAGAACCATGAGAAATATTATTTTTCAGACTGAAACTCTTTGTTGTGATTTTTCTCGTGATATTCAGCAGAAGGCTGATAGTTCAGTATAATGAGTATAACTCAAGAAGAAAGGTCTAATAACACGAACTCATTCAGAATTTGTATCTACACTGTAAGTAAAATATAAGATCAAATGAAAATTATCAATCGGATGAGTTTCTTTTTAAACAAAACATAAAAAGAAAAAGAATTGATTATGTTTGTTTTAGAAATGAAAATAATCAAGAAACAAATGATTTTTTTTCATTTGATTGGGAAAAAGAATTTGTTACAGAAAGAAAACTAAAATTAAAAAATGGCAAAGAAGCACATTTTACTGTATAAATTTGAAATTAGAATTAAATTTCAATAAAGAATTTATTTTGAATATTTAGGTGTTTAAAGAAGTCAATACCGCTTATTCAGAAAATACTGATCAAATTGATCGATATACATTTAATCTTTATATTTACCCAGCTCTTCATTTAACTAATCTTTTACCAATGGATATTCAATGTTCAATTGATGTAAGTCGAAATTTTCATTATGAATATTTTTTATTTTAATGAATGAGATTATCAAATTGCAAAAATAAAAGATTAAAAAAACAATATCATATTTCAGGTTGACTTTCCATCTTATAATTCATATCCTGTATTTCATCGAATAATTCGTCATTCTTCTAATGTTCGTTTTTCTTTTCTAGTATATAATATTTGACTAAGGGAAAAATTATAATTTTCCGGAGAAAAATACACACGATATAAGAGCTTATGGACACTATTGCTTTCTTTTACTTGAACAAACTTAATTTATGATTTAATCATCATATTAATTTTTGTTTAGAATGTTGAACAAATTAATTTAAAACCAAGTGAATTAAATCTAATTACTTCTGGCAATAAACATTCCACGTTAATCTTTACCGTATATCATTTGATATTTTCTTTTTTCTTGACAATAATACTTTTTTTGAATATTTAGATTCCATCTTATGCAAATATAAAATGGATATCAGAACCAATTGACTTAAAGGTTGAAGGAAAAGGTGATCGTAATGAACATCTTGTCTTATTTCATAATAATACTTCTGTCAATTCTTCAATCATATTGGTAAAAAAAAATAATTTTTAAATAAAGAATAATAATATCTATTCAATAGAAAATGGTTTTACGTGTTGATTCATTCCATGAGTCTTATCGTTTATTATTATATTCACCCTTTTGGGTTCTTAATCGTACTGAATTAAATCTTGAATTTCAAGTAAAAAAAAAAACAATTGTTTTATTTTTTATCAAAATATATTTGCTTTACTTGTATTAGATTGACAATACTAATACATTTATTGAAGCTGCTGAAGTAACATGTTTAGTTTGTCCAGAAAATTTTGAAAGTGAAGAAAAAAGAAAGGTAACAATCAAAAATATAAAATAAACGAAAGAAATGTTTGATTATCCAATAGGGACAAATTCGTCTTCATAGTACTGCACAAGGAGATAATGCAGCTAATTGGTCGGAAAAATTTTCTGTTGATGTTATTAAAAGCATCGGTATGGCATCTTGTAAAGCACCAAACGGTCGAATTTTTATGGTAAATATACAAAATTTAATAAAAGAAAAAAAAATGAATTATTCAAATATCATAATATAGATTTGTGTGGATATTGTAGCAAGTTCATTTGGTTTAACAAAAATTATTACACTTTCACCATCAGTAGTTATTATGAATAAATCAACTGTATGTTTAAAAACTGTTTTGATTTTGAATTGAAAGTTATTTTTATTTTTATTTTTTTCTTCTTCATAAGATTGAAATTGAAGTAGTAGAAATAGTATCGGATAAAGAACAAGATAAATGGGGACCAGTCAATCCTGAACAAGTAAAAAATTTCTTTTCTATTTTATGAAATACGATCCTAGAAGGAATGTTAAAGTATTTCGGGTAATAATTTGCACTCATCTCATAGACCACATGACAGACACATGTCAAAGATCATCACAGACGTTATTGATATATGATCAAAGACTGTATATCAATAATGTCTCATTGTAATATATAAACTACTTCCTTATTGAACTTTTTAAGGTTCACTTAAAAAGATGGTGAAGAAATGTACTTCAAAATAGATAAAATAAAACAATATCTCTGTGATTAGCAAGAACAGATATATCGTGTTTCACATTTTAATGCCGCAGAAATTGTGTTAAAAGCTTTTATGTTATTAATTAATTTATTTAAGGTAATTCCATTTTGGCCACATAATATACAAGATGGTTTAATGCGTGTTCGTTATACAAATAATCGTGTAACATCATGTCCATTTGTAATGAATGACAAACATCGAACACTTTTACGTATGGATGATGAAGAACGTCCAGCGATTAATGTTGAAGTGACAGCAACTGATTTTGATGGTATAAGAGTTATTTTTGGAGATTATAAAATTGGTGATGCACCTGTTCTTCTTGTTAATTGTTTACAAAATGACTCAATTGCATTTTGTCAAGTTGATGATGCGTATGTCATATTATTGATTTATTTTCTAAATGAAATTTTATGTTTTTTCCAATAAAATAGACTAACACAAGTTTTACCATCACAACATTATGTTTGTTATACATGGTTACAACCATTAAAATCAAGAGCATTATCTATTTTTTGTGATGACAACAAAACAGAGCTCGAACTTAATGTAAGAAGTTTTAATTTGTTTTCCATTTTATAAGATGATTCAAATATAAATTTGTCATTACAATATATCTTCTGTGATGAATTCATTTTGAGATATTTTATATTGTATAAATATTTGTAATCCATCTAATACTGCTCGTTTGTTCACAATACTGGTAATCAACTGTACATGAGATATTTCTAATAACTTAGTTGAATTGTCTCTTTCGATGTTCTTATCATGCTATTGTATCACAAATTTATTTATCAGTTATATATAGTTACGATAGTTCAGTGGTTATAATGTCTGTCATACATTTCAAAAGTACTGTGTTCGAACCTCGACACTATCTCATTATTGACTTGAATCAATTGATCGTAACTAAAATAGGATTTGAGAAAAGAATAGATTAACCAAAAATTAAAGACATTAATCAAAGTTACTTTCATACATCTGAAAAATATTGACAAGAAATGATACTGAAGTATAAATATAATTGCATGCTCACTCTGTGTTCCATTAATTCAATCGAATGGAATTCAATTTTCTCGCATGCTAAAGAAAGTTTTCAACAGAAAACAGCATCAGTTAAAATAGAATGATACTTATTTAATAAAGTATCAATCTTTTCTGTCTGTTGTGTACAAAAGAATTTATTTTATTATTTGATTTCATTTTTTATTTATATAAATAATCTTTTAGCCTCAATGTGGTTTCCTTAAAAAAGACGATGAACATTGTATTAGTTATGCTATATTTATGGATGGTATTCAAACTGTTTTACTCTTTTCTGATGATATAAAAATCATTGCAGCAGCTTCAGGAGTAAATAATTGAAGTTATTTTGTTTTTGTATAAAATAACAAATTTCAATTAATATAGATACCAGCACTAGCCGAGTCAATGGGTCAACGTATTCAAATCGGTATTTATGACATTGGTATATCAATTGTTAATGATGTAACTCGAGAAGAAATACTTTATATAAGTTTAAATAAATCGAAAGTTATTTGGACAGAAACAAAACGATCTCGTGTTCGACCATTATCACAAAATTTGAATAAAGATTTAGAAGAACTTTATCAAAGTTATGTTGAAGAATATGAAATCAATCCAAATGATAAAAGAGTCCAAAGAAAAAAATATCATATGGACGAATTCCCAGTATGATTAATCATTTTCTCTCTGTTTTTTTTCTTCTATTATTTATTTATTTGTGAAAAGGAAATATTATTTTCTAATAATAAAGCTGAATTAATTAATTCAAAAGGACAAAGAAAACCAGTTAAACGACAAGCATTAGATGGTCTTTGGATTGAATATGGATGGTCAGGAACAACTGCTACATTACATGCACGTATTAATCGTGTACAAATTGATAATCAACTTGATTATACAATATTTCCTGTTGTTCTTTATCCAATTACATCAAAAGCAACAGGAACTGAACTTACTGATAAAGCATTTATTGAATTAAGTGTTTATGGATCTAAAACAAGTCGATCAAATATCATGCAATTTAAATATTTTAAATTACTTGTTCAAGAATTTGCTGTTAAAATTGATCAAGGTTTAATTGTTGCACTTTTAGGATTTTTTCAATCAGAAACGGTTTTCTTCTTTGTTTTTCTTATTTGATTCTTTTATAACATTTTATTTGATATAGATTTCAGCAGCACCAACAATAAATATGGATACCGATTTAGAACGAATACACAAACCACTTACTGCTATTATTAAAGCACAGACAGATGCTCCATCGGGTGAAACAGAAATGGTTTTTGATAATATACATTTATCACCACTTAAAGTATAAAAAACTTCGATTTACTTTAGTTGTTTTATTTCTTGACATGAAAAATTTTATCTAGATTCACGTTAGTTTTTCAATGCATGGATCTAAACCAAGTGAAGCATTATTAGTTGAATATCCATTAGTTGGATTCTTATTGCGAACATTAAATGTTGCTGAAGTACAAGATGTTGTCTTACGGTAAAATTCACAAAAAATAGAAATACTTTATGAAAAATCATTCTCAATGAAAATTGAATTCTATAACTAGAAAGTTGAGACTTCTTTTCTTCTGAAATCTTTAAAGTAATTCTAAAATAAAGCTAAGAGTTAGAATTCGAAGGTACATAATCTTTTGTGATATTATTCACAAAAAAAGTACTTCAAATTGTAATTCACTAAGAAATATACGGAGAATTTTATAATGTTTAGTTTGGGTTATTATGAACGAAAAAATGATCGATATACACTAACAAGATTAACAAATGAAGTTTCATCTCATTATCAAAATCAATTTATGAAACAAATTCATGTGCTTGTATTTGGTCTTGATGTACTTGGAAACCCCTTTGGTGTTATTCGTGGTCTTGCTCACGGTGTTGAATCATTTTTTTATGAACCATATAAAGTAAAACGAATGATATAAATTAATATTTATGTGTCTCTTTTTTTTGTTTTTTGTAGGGTGCAATTGAAGGTCCAATGGAGTTTGCTGAAGGTGTTGCCACTGGTGTTCGAACATTATTTGGTTCAGCTGTTGGTGGTGCTGCTGGTGCTTTTTCAAAAATAACTGGTGTACTTGGAAAAGGTTTAGCTACATTAACATTTGATGAAGAATATAAAGTTTCACGTATGAGACGACAAGAACCAACAGCTAAGGGAAGGACTGAGATTGCTGTTGAAGGAAAAAATGTTGTTATGGTATGTTAAGGCCCTCACCCTCAAAAATCGATCTCAGCCCAGGAACATCCAAATTAGATAAAACTTTCAGGATATGTTGGAACTAAAAGGGGGAGACTACCGTAAAATTTTCAGCCTGAAATCGTCAGGTTTCAGGGAGATATGAGCCAAACAAGGGTCAAAAATGAATCATTTGGCATCCCAAATTTCTCGGTCCTGGTTCGTTTAATATATTAATATTTTTTTGTTGTTGGAAAGAGCATCTCAAGATGCAGGGCATGGTGGGGCCCTTTTTTTGAAATAGTCCTCTTTTAAGCGCAAAAAAGAGATCACAAGTTCAATGGCTGCAAAAAGTGTCAAGCAATGGTAACCAAATCATATAACTGGCTGTATATTGACCAAACAAAGGCTTAATTAAAAAAAGGACCTCATCATGCCCTGCGCCTTGAGATGCTCTTTCAAACAAAACAAAATATTAATACTTTGAATGAACCCGGAAAGAGAAATTTGGGATGCGCTTTTGAGAAAGTGGAAACTGAGAAAAAACGGAAAACATTTTTTGATTTTTCAAAAAAACAGCTGGTTTTTCGAATAGGGGGTGACGAAAATCTTCGAAAATTTTGGACAAAAAGAAGGTATCGAGAAAAACTTTTTATCAGTTATGAAAGAGCAAATCACGGGCTATCTTCCCATGTATTTATCTCAATTTCGATGATTCTGACGAAGTGACTTTTTTTGAGGGGGCGGGGACCTTAAAAACATTTTATTTGATTTGAAATTTTGTTTTTATTTATTTATTTATTTATTTATTTATTCTAAAGGGCTTCGTTGAAGGTGTTAAAGGAGTTGTAACTAAACCAGTATCAGGTGCAAAAGAAAGTGGTGCTACTGGTTTTGTTAAAGGTTTAGGAAAAGGTTTTCTTGGTCTTGTTACAAGACCAACAGGTGGAATAGTTGATTTTACAAGTACTTCATTAGATTTAATAAAACGGTGAAAAAACTAAATGTTATTTTATTTTGGTTTATTAAATTTCGAATAATTTAGAACTGCACAACAAGAAGAAACAGTACATCGTGTTCGTTATCCACGTCATATTGGTCGTGATGGTCTTGTTCGACCTTATATTTCTCATGAAGCCGTGGGATTTTTTATTTTAAATGTAAATTTATTTATCTTTGACAAAATTTTTATTCTTTTATTTTTATTATATCATAGAGATTAGCAAACGGAAAATTTGCAAAATCTGATACCTATGTTGCACATATAACTTGTTCAGAACATCCAGTATCTTGGTTAATGGCAACATCGGGGTAAAGAAAAAAGACAGAATAATTTTATTAAAAAATTAATTATTTCATTTAAGACGTTTATTATTTATAACGGAAATTTCATTTCTTGGTTTATATGAAATTGATTGGGAAATTCCTTATGACGAATTAAAAGAAGAACCAATTGTAAAACCAAATTCAAGTCAAATACAAATTCTTAGAAAAGTAATTTAATAAAAAGAAAAAAGATAAAGAAACTATTTAATTTGTTTATATTTTTAAGGAACCACAGAAAACAGGAACAATTAGATCAGCTGTTACTTATGGTAAAATGGTCAAATGTCGAAACACATCGGAAGCTCGAGTAAAATTCTTTTATTGATTTTGTTTCTTTTTTCAAATGTTTTCTTTTCATTTAGTATATTGTTGAAAAAATAATTTATGCAATGCATTCAGTCGGTCTCTAAAAAAAACTAGTTCTTCAATTTTTTTATATTTAATCCAGCATATCTTGTTTTTGTTTGTTTTCTGTTTTTATGCATTTAAAATAAAATGTTAATCAATTTATTAATATTGTTGAAAGTTATGCTATAGAGGTAATCGGGTAATATAAATACGTATTCTTTCATTCCTTTTTTGTTTAGTGCTTTTTTTTCTTCTCTATTTTATTTCAGCTCTATGTAAACACGTACATCTATTTCATATCGAAAATTCAATTCCTTTTTTTCTTCTTATGTGTACAAATGTTCGTGTTGCTTTCTTTGTGTTGACTTATTTGGAAAAAAATCCGAACTTTTACTTGTACGAATAAAGAACAAGAAAAAAAATGAAATCTTTTCCATCTTAATAAAAGTTTATCAACATTGTTTGATTCATAAAAATGACAAATTTTAATTGTTCTTATGATGATAAAGACAAAGCAAGGACAATACTTCTATAAATCATAGTTGACTAGATTTCTTTTTTACTTTCTTTTTTTAATACTTAATGTATGATATGATTTGACAGAAAACCTTGATAGAGTACTGATTATTTTAACAATATTATATTTCACAAGGTTCATCTAAAGAATTTTTTTTTTGCTTATCGTTCAATTCACAATGTTTCAATGACTATGCAATGAATAAATCAATTGATACGAAATCAGATCCGAATTATTTTCATGTTAATCAATAGCGTAATCTCTTCATCATATGAATAATCAGTGACACTTGAATGAAAGTGTAAAAGAACTCGATCTTGCCATCAAGTACTTTATTATATTAGATTATGTTTCTTAATATTACACATCATAATTATACAATAATTCATTGAATATATTGACAATTTTTTATTACTGTTAAAATTGGACAACTCGATATTATTTAAAATAATATATCGATGTTTCTTTGACAATAGGAACAACAATAATAATTATTTTACAAGTATATTTACAGGAAAAAGAAAAAGTCAAATATGTTTATCCTGTTTGCCAATAACACAATAATATGAATCGAAAAACTTGATAACAAGTAAATTCATTTCATCTGTCAGCTATGTAATATCTTATAATTAAATCATGAATCATCAAAGAATATAATTTTTATAAGATCATAATTCTAATAATGATGATAGTGATCGAATGATAGCTTATATTTGCCTGCCTACGTCATTTATCTCCTATTTTCAAGGTTATTATATTTATTTTTGATATGTATCCCTTAAGTATTTTCAATTATGTGCAAATGAACCAATATTCTCACTAACACTGCCAAGTACCTTTATTTCTTGTGTCTATAACACGAGAAAAATAAAAATTAGTACATGCAATTGAAAGTATCGGATTGAACTTCTATGATATCTTTCTCTCTCTCTCTTTCTTCATTCTTTTCATCGGTAGTTGAAAGCACTCATGACGAGAATACTACATATAGAATTTATGAATGAACAATACAAAGCCAAGCATCAAGATACGCACTTATTGATCTTTTTTTGCACAATTTACTAACCTGGATAACATAGAAGTACGGCTTCTGTGATAACAACAAATTTGAGAAGCAATATTCGATCATGTGAATTTAAAAAGTACATAAAAAATATTTTCTAATTAAACTTAAATCTTCTGAAATATGTTTTCTTAATGTTTATGGCACAAAAACAAATAATAATATTTACTTTTTTACACTTATATATATAAAAATAAAACGTAATTTCTAAATTATTCTTCTTTTCACGTAGTTGTCGTTATTTCATTAACATACTTTTCCTTCGTAAAATTAATAAAAGTCACGCTATGATAATAATGAAATGTTCGAGTGTTGTTTCTATTACCATTACTTTGTACAGTCATTTTCCATGTATATATAGAGTCTTGTCACTTTTCATTAATTAAATAAACTTGTTCATCTAATTTTGATTGCCTTTAAATAGGAAAACGTCAATAGTATGCCCATCAATTTCTAACTAGACGCCTACGAACCTCTTGAATTATGATAGGCGTATATTATTATACGATCATAAATAAATGAATCAGTTCCTCTCCCCATACTTTTCATTTCTTTTTTTATACGTGCTTTTATTGATTTGGTAATCGAACAATGAAATAGTTATACATATGTGATAAAGTAATCAAAAAGAAAAATGAAATAGAACTATTGTCTTGTATTCAATTAGTTGAAAGTATATCCCCTATTCCTATCTTGTGAAGGATCAAATATAATGTATATCGTTGTGTAAAGTGGTATGCATGATAGCCAAGTTCAGGGTTGAAGAACTCTTCATTTGTACTGACCATAATTATCTAACTTGAGATGCATATAGACAGAGCAAACAAATATCTAGATATAGTCAAAGACAACGATAGAAATGTGATAACAGAAGAGAACTATATTTGTCTGACTGATGAATTGATTATGTCATCATTATCGTTTGTTTTTTGAAAATTTTTATCATCATCAATAATGTCACCATTTTTCTTTGTGTAGATGCGATGTTTTTGCACTCGATTATCAAGGGAAAACGTATATGTATATGTGAGTGTGTCATTCGTTCAATCAAAATACAGTGTGATGACGATTGATTTCACACTTTCCAACTCCTTATTCGTTCACACTTATCAATCGATATTTTTCTCATCGAATATTACCAACGAAAATCAATTGAACAAGGGAGACAGTACATCATTTTGTCTCTCTATTACTCTTCTATTCTCTCTTTGTCTTCCTCGCCTATCGCTAATGTACTAGGCGAAATACTAAAGAAATTGGAGAAAAAAAGAAAGAACAAGCGTGCGCGTACGTACGAAAAGAGAACGATGACGAGAAGAGAGAATGTATGTAATTTTCTTGTTTGATTCGCTCTTTTATTCTATGCGACTCTTTTTTTTATAAATAGCAAAAGACAAACGTAAATCCTCTTCTCTCTTACTATACGTTCGTTATGACATATTTTCTGATCAAAGATTCGCATATCTTTTAGCCTCGATTGTCTATTATTGTGGCCCTGAGATTATGTAAGGTTGTATTTATATCGATCATGTTCTATTTTCTTGTTTGCCTATCTGCTATTCCAATATCGACTAATCATTTATCTTTATTACAATTATAATAATGTTATTTCAAATCGCTTTGACGAATGGATGGCAAGAAGAGTGATTTTTCTGTTCATATTAGCTGCCAGTCTTTCAACTGTGGTAAGAAAACAATTTAAGATAACAAGATATCGTTTTGATCTTTTTGTTAGTTTATCTTGTTGTTGTATTTGAGAGTTCTTCTTTTGTTCTTGGCTCGCTGCACTCGAACTCGACCTAATTTGAAGACTACCACTTATTTTTAAGGAGACATCATGTGTAGGATGACATATCAGAATATGATCCTCAACAGTTCGCATAAGAGTAATGCATAACTTCGAGTTCATATTTCTAAAATTCAGATCGTTTTGTAAGCCTATTTTTGTAACTGATAAAAATTCTATACTACTCTTGAAGTATGTATATTGAAATAAATTATTAACAAATAGTTTTTTTTTACAGCTTTAAGTTTTGTACACTGCATAATAACAGAAAAGCATAACTATTTACCTCGTTTTTTTTTTAGTTCTGATATTGTATTTAGTAGATTTTTCTTCTTAACATTCACGTTAAAGTATATCATGATATTTGAGTAGTAGAACACAAATATTTGAATTAAAGCTTGGTAAAAATCATCACCAATGAATACCATTGACAGAGAAACGTAAATATTCCATTTAATTATTTTTTCATAAAAGTAATACATAAAACAAAAAACATAACAACTAGACAGGAAAAAAAACATGCTATTCATATTCTATTAAAAGAAAGTTTTAAATCCAAAAATTAAGTTTTAATTCTCATCAACTACATCTATCATAATGCAGTACATTATATTGTGTCAAGGTTTAATGATAACAATGATAATAATGATGATAATGAGGTGTGTTTTATTGTCATTCATATTCGTTAAGCACCTCAATACGTGTGTGCAAATGTATGTCTATTTTACCTTTTTCATAGTTACCATTATTATGATAATAATGTTCAATCTTTTGATTGATAACTCGCTTTTGTTCCACATTCGTTCATATTTTTCTTGTTCTTGCAACATACAAACATATTGACAACAAGGGATTATCAAATATAGTTCGTTTGTCGACAATGTTTGTTTGCATTTAATTGCCTTTTGTATGCATAGAAATAGCATCAGCAGCAACAACGATGACAACACAGGTGTGATTTGACGACTAAGAATACTATGCAAAGTATGTGCGCGTGTTTGTATGCATTACTCGCGCTCTCTCAATATGTGGTATTCACAAGTAACAGGAAAATGTTTTGAATGTATACAATACGATGACATTATTGATGTTGTTGTTTTAAGACAGTAAAAAAAATGACTTTCATGAAAGCAGTCGTATTTTTCTTGTTCTTTACTTGATTATTGATGACGGAAAGAAAATGCTGTCCATCGTAAACAATATATATTATTATATCAGTGGCAATAAGTGCTTCATAAGATTTAAATTACATCAGCAAGGTAATTTTACTCTGAATCTTTCTCAATCGTTTAATTCACCGATTGAATTTATTAATAAAAACAAAAGTTCATATTTCATTCAATTGCTCTCAACTAGTTCCATTTGTTACATTAAACAAAAAAAAGAGTTGCATCATGATTATACAATGTAATGGACGCTGAATCTTAATAATGATGATTGCGAATCGCCGAATAAAAACTGGAAGAAAGAAAAAGAATAAAAAACATATTACACAAAAAACGAACATAACATAACATAAGTAAAGAATTGAAAAATGTTAATGAAAATATCTCTGGATAATTAGTAGAAAATTAAACGATAGAAAAAATCGATAAAAAAAAATAATTGAATATTTTTATTAAATCGTACTTTTTTTTAATTAAAGTTCGTTTAATACTTTCAAATTAAATTTGTGATCTGTTATTTATTTTCTTTTCTGTAGCCACTGTTTTCCTTGTCTGTACCAACATTATCTGTTGAACACGAGCAATTATCGTCCTATATTCAATATAAATTAGACGAAGATCATCATTATCGACCATCATTAGTCAGTTTTTTGCATCGACAACCAGACGGTTCTCAATTGGCAACAATTCGTTACTACAGAATTGTTTTTCACTGTAATATTTTACCTGGGTCTCTCTATCTTCGATTTGCTAAAATAAAACCTTATCGTAGTGTTGTCCAAAATCGACAAGATCCTTCAAGTAAATCTCTTTTTTTTTTAATTGAAGTTTTCAAAGATTTTTAAATAAAATTAATTATAGCTGTATTTGGCTTTCGATCAGTGGGTGCCTATAGTCGTGTTCAAATTCAAAGTCATGTATCTGGCATGTGGTTATGCATGAACGAACAAGGACAAATAATGCCAAAAGTATATTAATATACTCTAAAGTTGATGCTTTTTTAGATTAAGTTTTTATTTTTTTTCAGTCGAATATCACGGTGGATAATCTTGCTTGTACATTTCGTCAAAATTCAGATGGACCCTATTTGAAACTTATCTCTGAACTTTATCCGTCGCGTCAAGTGTTCTTTGATACACTTCGTCTCTTATCACTAAATCCTATACTTCGCCGTCGTTATGCTCAATATATGACTAATGATAATAACATTTTCAAACATGAACGATGTAGTAGGTTCATATTCGATAGTCAAATCGATAATGCATTATTCAATCAAACAATAGATCCATTTCTTCGATTGAGACATTAATTAACATTGTTTTGAGTAGATAGATGGATGGTTTATTCAATTTCTTTTTCGTATTTGTATGGCTCAGTCAAATGTTTTTTTTTCTCGTTTTATTTATTATCAATTGTGCTATGTGTATAATTAATTATTCTCTCGCTCTTTCGTAAATGCGCGCTTGGTGCTTTGTTTATATGTTGTAGTTTTCTTTTTTTCCGCTTCACTTCTTTGATTGAATGCGAATATTCGTTTTTCTTTGATTAAGTAACAAAAAACTGCTACAGTTTATAGTTCAAAATAAGTTTCTTTTCTCTGCAAAAAATATGCAGATATAACAAATCAAAGCTTGTGCAGAAAGGGTAATATGTGAAATACTCAATGCCATTTATTTTTTGTTATATTGAAAAAGATTGAGAAAATCTATATAAATTATACTTTTAGTGTTTGGTAGTATTCTTATAATTATCTAACAGGTTCAGTTGATTTCTATGTTGTACAAAACCCATGTAGTTGTTTATTTGTTGCTCAATTTGATAGATCGAGTTTATGATCATTAGATATGTGCAATAGTAATTGATGATGCTTTTTCAACTACGCATAGAAAGATGCCATAGAACTATATCGATGCTTTAGTGTAAACATTCCAACTTGCATTAATTTATCAATTTTCGCATCACCTTCAATACTTGATAGCTAAAAATAATATTATAATACAGTGTATTATTTCATTTCTTTTTTGAAAACAGTTGCTGAAAGTAGTACAAAATTACCATCGGTGGTTTTTGGTCGATAAAAAAAGCCATAATAAATAATCAATACTGATGCATGTTCGTTTATTTTTCCCTACATTTGCTGGTTTTATTGGTATCAAACTTTGAATTCAATCTAGATATTACTATCTCATGCTGCTGTACTGCAGAGTCTCAAATAATTAATGTGTTTACATGATACAACGAAAGTAAAATATTCTGATTTGGATCATTATAGAAAATTCCGTGGACAAGATCAAAATCTTATGGAATTATATTAAAAAATAACAAGTATATAGATAATAAAACTCTCATATTTTAGACATTTTCAAAATTGTTGTGAGTGAAATTTATTCTTTTTGCCTCCCTCACATAATCGAGTGCAATATACCTTTCAATTTATCTAAATTCGAACTTTTCGATTTATTTGTATTGTCAAAGTGGCACAATGAAGTTCCATGTCAATCGCACCCTATAGAAATTGCTATAGACTACATGAGTTTATCGAATGTGTGATGGATGCGAAGTTAGAGAGTCTTATACCTACATCCATCTGTATATTATCACTTAGAGTGAATATATTCTTCTACATCAGCTTGGGTTTGCCCGAAGAAAAAGAAAATTAAGAAGCTTAAAATTGAAATTGAATGCAATACTTCTTGTAATTCAATGTTGCCTTAAAGCGACATTTAAAGAGTATCACTCATATTTACCCATAAATCATGTACGTATTCATTGAATACGACTTCTCAAAAACTGGCTCATAGAAACGAACGAGTCAATGATTAACGAACATTACTTGTATTTTGCAAGAATTAAGTTGAAAAACCTTCTAAATAATCATATAATGTGACACATATTGATCTATTAATTTGGATCTCTGTATATTTTAGCTTCTTGGCTTACCAAGTTTCAGTATTTTGATCTTTATCAGAAGTCATGAAAGACTTCGATATGCAGCTCCTTGAATCAGATATCATCATCGATAGATAGAAGATCCTCATTGACAAGGAAAGTGATTGCAATGTACTTTGCATATGTGAAGCACAATTGAATGTCAGTATTGAATTATTTAGCGAGAACGTTTGTCCTTATCAACTATGGTAGAGATGTAGAAAGATTTCTCCAGTATGATTAAAGTGTTTTCATTACCCTTCACCCTTGAATCCTGTATGAATTTCTCTATGAACTTTTTATTCCGAAAAAGATTGCGCTGAAGATTTTTTTCTTTTTTGAAAGATACTTTGTCTTTCTCGTTTGTGTGGGAGAAAAGAAAGGATTTAATGTATGAATAATATTTGCAATATGTCATCGTACTTGATTGTTGATCTTTTCGAATACATTATGTTTGGTCGCATATGTCAAAGATATACTTATGAATTACTTTCAATTTTGATTTCATGAATCAATTTTGCTGAACAAATTATTGTTTATGCACTGACGCAAATGGAAAACTTGGACAAAGAACGGGAGAGAAAATTTTTCTTCATTTTATTTGGTATATCAATAGGTGCATTAGTGAAAACTTTGACAACAAACAAAAGAAAACAAATTCTCATTTCCGCTATTATTGAAATCGGAGAAATTGTTTCCTACTTAGCTTTTTTTCATGGGATTCTGTATAATTGGACAATCATTGGTGTAATAAGTTGTCAATCATATGTGCAAAATAATCTCATGATATTCGTTATAAGCCTATTGGGCGTAGTCGAAATGCTGCTGCTATTTATTTGTTTCATCCTCGCGAATTCGATTGCCGATGAAAAAAAATGGCATGCGCGTATTATTGATTTTATGACTCAAGTTTTGTTCTTCTTAAATCGAAATGCTGTACTGATCCTTTTTCTTTTTCTTGAATCTAAATCTCGTTTTCGCAATGTATACTATAAAATTTTACTAACTATCAACTTCTTTACAGCTAGCGAGTATGTCGGCTTTCTTCCATACATATCTTTTGCTGTTAAAAATATTTGCTGTAAAAAAACCAATTATGGAAAGAAAATAATAAGCCTGCAAAATTAATACGTTCACCTATTCAAACGAATACGTCGACAATGTTTCATGATTACATTGTGGATATTCGCATATCTTTACATGAAAGCTATTTAAGAATTTATCGCTATTGGCTTTATTTTCTTCAAACATTTGACACTGTTATCTGCATTCCAGTTACATGTATCACAACTGTTGCCTATGCTGCTCAAGAACTAGTTGATGAAAACTTACCATCATACGATTACACTTTATATATCTACTCTATTGTGACATGTGGTCTTCTTCTTCTTCTATATCCAGCTTACTTGACATGTCTTCATTTCTACTTTACAAATAATAAGGATAAAAGCAAACGGCTGGATACTGCTACTACTACTTCATCTCGTAGTTATTAATATTTAATATGTTGTCTTGGCCATATAGCATGACAAGCACAAAATAAATGGAAGTCTCGGTATTCAGTCAATATTGCTTTCTATTTTCATAGTTTTCGAATAGAATTTTTTTCAAGAGAAATTCGGTATTGAAAGCTCAACAAAAAATTCATAAGAGCGAGTGTTATAAAATTAGAAGCAAAAAATCTGTTGAATAAAATCTTCAAACATGAAAAATTCGTTCAAACAAAAATGTGCATTTCTCTTAACGAACTTTTGTTCTATCATGCTTGATAACTTGTAGAAACAAGTGAAGATGGTGCAGACAATGTGTTACAACCATCTTACGAGGAGTTCTAGAGCAATCTAATTTTCATACACTTTTACAAAATTGCAAAGAAAGATCAAATTGATGAATTAAAAGCTTCATAAGAAGATTTCAATACTTCAATCAATGAAATATCCACGTGGGAACTTGCTATAGTCGAACGTTCGACAACACATATTGTTGACAGTCTTTGAGTCCCAAACATTGAATTCTATTGACAGTTGTCTTCCAATTTATGAACGTAAGTTTGGACTATTATTCATCGTGCATACGCAGGAAGAGCATCAGGAAAAAGTAAAAAAAAGAGTGCGATAACATATTGAGAATAACATTTCATGTATTCCAAATCGATTTTTACTAGCCAACAATAATAATGTCTAATAACAAAATGGCAAGATCGCTAGTAAGACTTTAGAAACGCCCTCATCGTTCACAGTACTTCTACATGGTAAATAACCTTTTTGCTTTTTCTCGATAAGACAAAACTCAATGGAATGGAAAAACAGTGAACAAGATTAGATTTTATAGGATGTGAGTGTAGATATAGGTAGTCAAGTACAATCGTTGTCGGCAACGCTAGGAAATCTTGTCAGAATTTATATTTTCAAGCTTCTCGTCCTAGATGACTGCCTAAGAAGTGCGTTTCAATTCTCTCATAAGAGTGTCTGTGAATAGGTGAAGATGCGAACGACGCCCCCCCCCCCCCCCCCCCACCCACCCATCTCTAAGACTTTCTATACAACTCAATCTGGGGTCCTCTATTAACCATAGCGCTTTTTTAGTTCATTCAGTGAAGCTGTTACTACGTGATTCACCTACAAATTTCGAGTTTTCTTTTATCAAAGTGCTTTAGTAGAATCTTCGAAAATGACCTATCACCTTCGCAAAAACCGTCGATTGATTACAAAGCAGTGTCACAATGTAGTTCTAAGATTTTTTTACTCGCTGACACTTTACAATGATCTAGTTTTGTGTATTTCTGCTAATTTAAGAATTATTATGGTCAAGAAATTTTTTGGAAGAGGTTATTTTAGCTGATAAATGGTGATCATACTTCCGTCACATGAGTCACCTGAACAGTTTGTTCAGCAATACTCGTTACAAACAAGATTAGACCTGCGTGTAAAAATGAACAGTATTTTCGTTTTATCGCTAGTTCTAAATAGGATACGAAAAAGACTACCTGTCTGTGCATAGATGAATGAGAGGAGCCGCATGTAAGGAAAAGAAGAATGACTTTTCAAAACTTTGTACCCTAAGCAACAATATGTTTTTACACTTCATGGGATGTCATGTAATTGAAGAGCAATATTGAAACCATTCATTCTTTATAGTGGCAGTGCGCAATGATGAAGCTTGTTCTTTGTTTTCTGTGTCAATAACATCTTGTCAATTCTTGAAACGTCTCTCTGCACCCAGTCTAAACACTGATTGCTAGAGGCATAATTTCGGTCTTTCATCATTGATCGATCACGGATTATAATTCTCACCAGTACACCTACCCTTGCCAAAGTTGCCTTTTATTATAATTCAGAACAAAACAATTCACATCAATGAGCATGATTACATAATACAACGTGTCTACGATTTCAAAAATGGGGAAAAAACAGAGGATGCGCAAGTACGAATACAACTTGTACCACTCATTTCACAGCTAACTATGTACCACAATGTACCACTTTGCATTGGGTCCATGTATCCCCTTGTATCATAGGGATACATGAACCCGATACAAGGTGATACACAACGGTACAATGTGGTACATGATGATACAAGGTGCTACATGAATTCTAGAATTCTAGGTTTTTCCCGGGAATACATCTTATTATGTCGATGCATGGGTCCAATACAAGGTGGTACATGGTGATACATGGTGTTACAAAGAAACACAAGGTAGTATAATGTGGTACATAATTAACTGTGAACCGAGTGGTACAAGTTGTACTCGTACTTGCGCAGTCCTCGGAAAAAATATGAATTACAGTCTTGCAATAATTTCATTCTCTTCAGCGTCTGCATCGTCTACGATGATCCACATCGCTGGTCTTGGTTCTGTTTCATCTTTTGACTCATGTGGTCGAGATTTAAACATTTGATCCATAAGGGCAGTAGTTTCTGATGAATATTTGGACTAGCTTCGAATAATGGGACCATATTTCCAGAATATATATGGCCGACGTAAACAGAGGAGGGTAAGAAAACCAGGGATTGAAGCCGCCCAGTGAATCCCAAGGTTATGAAACATTTGTGTAGTAAAGAGAGCTACAATAAAAGAAATGAGATAATACTATCAAGCGCGGCAAAACTTACGAAAGATAGCACCGAACAATGAACGCAGAACGGAATTGGCTGCCAGAATACTAGCAGCATAGATAACGTAGGCATCGATCAAATAATTCATCAAAGCCAAAAACACAAGGTTTGTTCCGAATCCAAATGGCACGCCGGCCGCAATTGGAACTAGAAAGTGTATCGATGGTAATCAGTCCAGGCAAACCAAAATAAACCAATAGGTAAAGCGAAGGCGCCGATTATAGCTGGTGGAAGACGAACTTCGGGAGGTGGCGGTTGATCAGCAAAGGACTCTACCGCTTTGATATATCGAAGGTTGTCCAATATACAGTAGATCACACCAATGATAAAGCCGATGGCGATACCGAAGAAAGCAAGACCGCCAATACCGGAAGATCATCCTCTCAGTTCTTCAAAGACTATCGGAAAGGCACCAAATAACATGTAGAAAATACCGTATATAATGGCCATATAGATAGACAAGAGAAGAACAATAGGTTCACGGAAAAGGAGAATCCACAGTCGAGATATGGATTTTATTAAAAGATGCATAACATCAATTTGGTGTTGCTCTTCAAATTTCGAACGATGAACAAATCCCGTAGTTTTGGACAGTTTCTTAGCTCGCTGACGGAGAAGAACAGGAGCATAGGTTTCCGGATACATGACTATTCCAATGATAGCGACAACACCAGTGAAAACGGCCATAATTCCTTGAACCCATCTCCACCCGATGGATTCACCGACAAAACTGCCTAGATTGGCCAGTCATTTGTTCATATCTTTGTTTCTATAGATTATTGTTAAAAGAATACTTACCGACAACTGGTCCCAGAACAGGTCCCAAGAAGGGAGCAGCGATAAACAGGACTAGAGCAAGACTTCTCTCCTTGACTGGGAAAACATCAGCTATAGTTCCTCCAGCCTAGAAATTGAGTCAAAGATTCATTGTACATGAGAAAACCCTAAGAATGGCTGACACTGGATGGAGTTATTGTTTTTGTTGATTATTATATTAAAAGATACTTGATTAATTTCTTAAATATCTGTGCGGTGATCTATTCCAACAAGTCAAAAATAGGAACCAACTAGGAGCGCTCTATATTGCAACAGATATTGTTAGAGCAGTACACATCTGTTATTTTCGATAATATAATTGAAATATTGGCTGAGACTGCCGAAAGTATTCAATGTCTTTTTCGTTTTCAAAACATGAAGAATCTACGATGCCGTTCTATTCCATTAATGTCCGACTGTATAAATTATGGGATTGCATCGAAACATTTTTTCCCGTTGAAGAAAAAGTAATAGAAAGAGATATGGAGTCTTATTTTTTCTGCGTCTTAGATCGTAAATCATGTTTTCAAATACTGATAACATGGATTGGCATCCTTTTTTCAGTAACCAATAGAATCTAAAATCTGAAATTTCCTCCACATCCCTCCCCTCCTCCGTTCCAATCATCATGGGAATCTACCAGAATGAGAAATAATTCACTTCTGCATATTCATCACTAGCTATCTAACCAGTATGAAGTTTTCCGCTTGCATATGTATCACTTCGTGAGAAAATAGCATGCAAAATTTGCCAACGTCACGTTATGGATGTAGTTCGAGGGGACTCTTCGAATGTGCAAAAAGTGATACAAAGATAATAATTATAACGATGTAACGTGGATTTTTATTAAACTCTAACATAGTACACTTATTTTGATTAAACCTTACAAATTGATTTCACAGATAAATATATTTTTATTTCTAATAACTAGATTATTTTGTTACTATAATGAAAATTTTCAAGTGGATCTTCAGCTGTCCTATTGACTGTTTAGAGTGATTAAACTTTGAAATCTTCTTATGAGCTTGATATGAAGATCAAAAATATCCGAACTCGGTTATACTCCTGTCGAAACACCAATACTCAAAGATTGCTCAAAAAAGGAAACCATTGCTGTTACTGAAGAATTTGATCGGTAACGAAATACTATGACTGAGTTGAAAGTTCATGTTTACAATAAGAAATATAACTTTGCTCCAAGAACTTCTAAGCTATTGTACGAATCCACAATCTTGAGATTCAGAATTAGTAAAGACCACTATTTTTACGATTTCTAGTCCGATCTGTAGAAACTTATGAGAATAAACAATGAAGACAACAACCAATGATGAACTCATCATATAAAAAATAGGCAAAGCTCAAAAAATATTTGACATATGTTTGTGAGAAGTGAAGAACCGAAAGCACCAGCAAAAAATCGAAGAATTAAAAGAGTCTAGATGTTTTGAGACGCGGCTGATCCAGCATTGAAGGCGGTTAGGACCGAATAAGTGATTATGAAAATGTTGCGTCGACCGAATTCTTCAAAGAAGGGAGCCCAAAGGAGTGGACCTTTAACACATCT